AGAATCGGGCAGACAAAAAATGTTTTGCAGAAACTAACGTCGAAAACAAATTTGGATGACAATTCTCTGAAGAAATGAAAATTTTGACACTTTTCGCCAAAAAAAAATTTTTTTGACATTTTCAAAATGAAAACCCTAGAATTTTTTCAAACTTTGAAGTGTAGACAAAAATATTTTAACAAAAAATCAGTTTTTTTCCAAGCAAAATTTGCAGGGATATGGCCCAAAAACGTTTTTCTTCTAACCCTCTCCTCATTTCACATAGTCTCTCGTCCTGAAATGTTGTTGGATCTGAACGAGAACGGCGAGAATTTTGGGCGAGCGAAAAGAAATTGCGCAGTGCAAAATGTTGCGAAAAGGATCGCGTAGCGCAATATCCACGGTGCGAAAAAAAGCCGAAAAAGTCTACGCACTTTATGAAAATGCTAATAGTAAAGTCGCTGGAGGGATTTTTGGCGCTTGCACTGATAAATTCACAGTGCTAGCGACAGCCGAAAAAAGCCTATTGCACGGTGCAAAAAGCAAGAAATTGTACAGTGCGAAATGAATTCTTGTTTTTGCACAGTGCATGTCGCGAAAATCACCTTTGCGAACGGACTATTTGTTGTAGCTGTAAAAACTTGACAAAAATTTTTGAAAAATTTCTGAAAAAATTTTAAAAAAAATTAAAAAAATTCTCAAAAATAATAATTTTTTCCCCGAAATTTTCGATTTTATTGCAACTAAATAAGCAAAAATACCGTATCCGTTCTAAACAAAAAACTTTTTTGACCTTCTCCTCTTCTTTGTCACCTCTCAACCGGCTTAAAGTAATGTACCAAAAAAAAAGTTAATTCGACCTCAAATTAATTCCTCGGAAAGTTCCTCAAGCCTGAGATCATAACGACGTCTTCGCCGAGTTCAAGGAACTTCCGGGCCAACGGGTTCGGGGAGTAATGGCCGCGGGATGTTTTCCATAAAGGAACATTCGGATTCCTCCGCCCGAATCCTATTATCACCTCAGCGAACAAAAAACTTGTGCAGATGAAAGAACCCCGACATATTTCCGACAATAAAAGACCCTGAAAGGCAAGAAACAAATTCTAAAAAGTGTATTGAAAATTTGGTTTTAGTTCATTTTGGTCGATTTTACAGAGCTTTGACACTAATTTTTCCTAAAATAGACCATATCTCGAGTATCGGTTAAGGAATATTTGAGTTTTAAAAAGTTTTAAGACTAATTAGAGTACTGCACACACCGTAGAATGGTTAATTTTCAACTTGGTAGCCTACTTATAGCCAAAAAACAGAATGCCAAGAAATTTCCAAAAAAGCGGGAAATTTGCCATTCAAAACTACAAAAAAAAAGATTTTTTTAGGGACGTTGCCAGGTCTCAAAATCTTCAGGGCTGTGCTCGTCTGGGCCATAGATCCCTCCACGCCGAGCTAGACCATGAAAACTTCAAAAAGAGCCAAGCCGGGCCAATTTTTCTTTGGCTGGGCCGGATGCCCAAAAATGGCAAAAGTCCGGCCCACTAGCCATGTCTGCCGGCGATTGCCCTTTTCCGAAAAATCATCTTGCACTGTGAGTGGTCCGCGCGACAACAGTGCATGTTGTCAAAACAAAAGCCTTCGCACCGTGCGGACATGTCAAAATTTATGTCTCACCTGTCAGTCTGTCGGGAAAATAACGAGCGCAATTTCGCTGAGCCAAACGGGTTGCTGAAGTGAAATGTCATTTGATTTTTCCGCGTGACAATTTATTTTCTCGACGGGGATGCGAGTTCGGTGCAAACGCCAAGAACTTCTCGCCGGACGGAAATCGGCGACATGCACTGTGAGAAAACGAAAGTTCACTTTGCACTGTGCAATTTTTTGCTTTTTGCACTGTGCAATAGGCTTTTTTGGGATGTCGCTCGCACCCTGAGTTTTTTCGCACAGTGCAAACGCCAAAAATCAGTCCGGCGACTTTCCGGACGGACTAGTATAATTAAAGTCGCCTGTTTTTCTTCGATTCAGTAATATCACCTGTCGGAAAAATAATGAGCACCCTGTAGTAGAAGTGAAACCAAAAATTTTTAATAGATAGACTCGTAAAAAATGTTAAAAAAGATATCAGGCTGTCGGAAAAATAACGGCGGATCGTCGCATCAAGATGTCTCGCCTCGCCGCTATCGCGCACCAAATCCCAAGTCGCGGCTTGCAGTCGCAAAGCGACGATGGGCGATTCCGAGGCGCGACGATCCGCCGTTATTTTCCCGACAGACTGATAAAAAGAACACATTTTTGCCACTTTTTGACATAAAAGCCATGATTATTTTTTGCATAGCATGAGCTAAAAAACTGCAAAAAATGTAAATCAAACTCTGCGTCAATTTCTATCAAAATCTGAAGGTCGCAATTTCCCCTCATTCGCAACAAAAATGCAACCCATTTGTAAATTCAAACACCCAAAAAAAATTAATCGCCAAAAACCTTAGCCCAACATATATCTGGGACATCCGACGCCTGAGGCCCTCTACGCAGGTCCGATCTCTAATTACCTTGCAAATAACTTGCTGCGTGAGAATCCGACGCCCCGCCCGGACCTTCATCTCCAATTATTCTTCTTTGGGATTCATTCAGATGGCACAAATTTAATTTTGTGGTAGACACACAAAATGTTGGATATTATGTGTGATATGGGGACGCGGACCGAGGGAAAAAATGAGCTTTGGTGGATGGGCAGAATGTCGGTTGCAATTTCAATGATATGACGAATAAAAAAGCGCAGACAATCAAATAAAAATAGCCAATGGAAGTATCAATGTGTCGGAAAATAATGTGGATTTGTGGCAGCAAAATGTCTCGTCTCGTCGGTGATTTAGCACCAAGGTTGCTGACTGCTTCGGGTTCCTTTTGAAGGCAAAGGCTAAAATTTCCTGACCTGAATATGGCCCATACAGCAGATGGGCGGGAAATTTGACCAAAAGCTTGTATTCGGTGGACCAAAAATTTTCTTACGGCGGCTAGCCGTGGCTGGAAATTTGGTCCGATTTTGCGACGAAGCGAGACGTTTTGCTGCCACAAATCTACATTATTCTCCCGACCGACTGACTGACTGATATATTTACTAGGTGGGTCAAAAAGGCTCGACTGGTTTTCGGGATAGAGATGCCTCTACTTCAGAAGGTCATAGCGACCTCAGTTTGTTCTCTAAAAGCTTGTTATTTCGTAGACAAAAACTTATGTCTTTTAAAAATACATATTTCAAAAACGAAGTCTCTGCGCCGCCTCCGCCGGAAGTTACAGCCTTCCACTTTCCTTCACGTTTTTTGTAAGACCCTGTAATTTTGCCGCGCATTTTGCCCCGTCGTCGTTTGCGGAGATGCGAGATGTCGCGGCACAGTGATGAATGACAAAGACTTTCTGACCCGCCTAAAGTATTTAAATAACCCAATATAAACCCCTTCGCTTTTTCTCAAATTTTGTTTCATTTTTAGACATGGCTTGCAGCCCGTACCATGCTCTTTTTTCGAGAGAAAAAAGTGAAGATATCAGTCTGCCGGGAAGAGAACGGCAGGTCGTTGTGTCTTGGAACGCGCATCATCGCTAATTCTCAAAAATCTCAGCTCGCGCTTTGCACGGACCGCCGAGATATTCGACGCTTTTTTTAACCGAGAGCGTACGCAAAATGAAGAGTGTTGGCTTGACGAAAAACATGTTTTTTGATGATATCTCATCCTATCTCGCATAAAAAGCGGTTTTTTTTGTTAATATATGACATTATCCTTCTGGATAAGTCTCACTTTTTTCATGCGCAAAATCAAAGTAAAAATTCAATTTCGTAAATCTCATCAAATCATTGCACTTTTACAATCTCCACTTTTTTTTTTTTCACAAGTCTCCCTTTTATATGATCAAACATCGCCGACGTGAAAGACAACACCGAGAATGAAGGGATAACGGCGGATTGCCATACGATGCGTGATATTTAACGGCAAATAAAATTTCCAAATATATTATGTTAGACATCAAAGAGGAGAGACAAGTTTCTCGGAAGTTCCAAGCTACACTTTGGAGCTTTATAATTAGCGGAAGAACAAAAATTAAGCATGGAGGCGAAGAGGAACAATGTTTTCAGGATGACACTAGATGAGTCAAAAAGTTGACTAACCAAGGCCCACCGCAACCACTTCACGGGCAGCAAGAAGAACCGCAGGGCACGTCACACTGAGATAAGCAAAAACAGTCCGGCGAATAGATTGGCAATTTGCCAAAAAAGACGCGAAAAAACGTTTTGTCGGGGAAGAAATGGGGAATTTTTGGGGCGAGAGAGTACGTTTTTGCGTGTCTTTTTTCTCTCTTTCTCTGCGAAATCAAGACGAAGTGTAAAAAACCGATAGCGAAGGGTCTATTCCGGTCACCGGACTCCTCAGTTTGACGTGCAGGGTGCTTTGACTGTCTACCAAGGCGAACAAACCCGAAAATGGGGCGATTACAAGTGAATAAAGCCTCATAGGCCAAGGCCACAATGACGTCATAAAACCCGGGGCCGGACCGCAAAAATTAGCCGTTCCGTGCAAAAAAAACTTTTCGAAAGCCTGGCGCGAAGCCAAGCGAAGCTAGCGAAAAACGACCATCCTTTTTTCTCCTCAAAATCCTATTTGTAACCCATTGATTCTAAAAATAATTTTTCTATGAAAAACCATCTCTCATTCGAAGCAAAAACTAGCCTGTCAGGACTTTTTATCCTGAAAATCTCAAAGAGCCGGAAAAAAACAAATCAAATTCTTGCCGGTTTTTCGAGCCGGATATTTTTGAAAATTGAAAATAATGCTTGGATATGGCGTTGAAAATCCTATATTATACTGTGTATGTATATATTTTTGAGAGCCTAATGTATGTATATATTTTTGAGACCTTGTAATGAACGATAATTTTCATTTTGAAAGTCGCCAAAAATATCGCAATTTTTAAATTTTTCAGGCCATAAATGTTATTTTATTTATCGACCGGTCGGTTTGCAAAATTGAATTCTAATGTTTCGCTCAATTCTTCGGCAAAATCAAGCCAAACCCAGTGGAATTAAACATGTTCTCATTGTCGGCGCAGGAATTATGGGTAGTGGAATTGCGCAGGTAAGAAAAAAAGAAAATAAAAAAATATGCAAATTTATTAAAATTTTTATTTTTTTAATAATTTTTTTTCAGATCTCAGCTCAATCCGGAATCTCCGCAACTCTCGTGAATCGAAGTGCCTCGGGCCTTTTACGAGCCGAAAATACAATTATGACGTCATTGAAGAGGGTTGCAAAACGCAAATTCGCCAATGAAAACGAGCGAAAACAGTTTGTTGAAAGCTCAATGGACAAAATTACGATGATTCAAGGGCTGGAAAAAGTGAAAAGAAGTCCAGATCTGATCATTGAGAGTGTTGTGGAAGATGTGGAGATCAAAATGAAGATTTTTGAGGAACTTGAAGCGGTTTTTGAGAGGTGAAAATTTTGGGATTTTTTTGATTTTTTTATATATTTTTTGGATTTTAATAAAACTGGGAAAATTTAAGGTAGCATTTTCTACTATAATTGGGACGGAATTTAGCAAAAAAACAGCATTTCCATTTTTTTTTTTTTTTTTTTTTGATATTTTTTCTATAAGTCTGGCAAAAAAAATAGCCAAAAACATTGTTTGTGACCGTCTCATGAAGTGAATTTTGGATTTTTTTGTCATTTTGGACCTAAAAATCTCAATTTCCTTTTAGCAAAACTTTAATTTATAACTTGTTTCATTGAAATCTTATTTTTTATTTTTTTTTGGTTCTTCGATTTTAGTTTTTTTTTGTTTCTTTTTTTGTTTTCAATTTCTGTCTGTTCCAATTCCATAGCATGCCAATTTTTTTATAAATAGAAAAAATCGAAAAAATAGCATTTTTATGAAAATTGTGAGCTGCGCCCGAGAGTTTTGAAAAAAAATCGATTTTTTTTGATTTTCATTTTTTAAAAATTTTTTTTTCTGGCCAAATTTCTTCCATCTAAATTTCCGACTTTTCAGCTCCACCCCAATTGCCACAAACACCTCTTCCTTCTCCCTGACCCACCTCTCTTCCCAAATGAGGCATCCCGACCGTTTCGGGGGCCTTCATTTCTTCAATCCGGTCGTTGTGATGAAATTGGTGGAGATCGTGATGACCGAAAACACCTCAAATCAAACTTTGGACCTTCTTTCGACTTATGTAAGAGCCATTGGGAAAACGGGCGTCTTTTGTCGCGATACGATGGGATTTATTGTGAATCGACTGTTATGTCCGGTCATGTTCGAAGCGATCCGAATGGCAGAGAGGGGAGATTCGACGATGCAAGATATCGATCTGGCCATGAAGTTGGGAGCCAATTTGCCGATGGGACCCATCAAATTGGCCGATTTTGGAGGCTTGGACACACTGAATTCGATCTTGAAAGGTACATTGTACTAGATTTTTGATGATTTTTGAATTCAGGCTTATTTTAAATTGTCTGCAAATGATGTGTAAGACATGTTGAGACATTAGAGGCCAAATTGGATAAAAATACGTCAAAATTTTGCAAAGAATCGACAAAAATTATATTATCCATGAAAAATTTTTTGATGATTTTTGAATTCAGGCTTATTTTAGATTGTCTGTAGATTATTTATAAGCCATTTTGAGACATTAGAAATCAGAATTAATAAGAAAAAAACAAGATTTTGCAAGAAATCGACAAAAATTATGTTATCCATGAAAATTTTTCGATGATTTTAGGGGTTGGAACTAATTTGTTTTACCTGTAATGGACATTCATGCCTTTCTGCATCATTTCAGATAAAATAAAGCAAAAATAAACTTATAAATTGACAAAAATTATATTATCCATGATGATTTGAGTAAAAATTTAGCTCTAAATATGAGCAGAAATTCCCTCATATTTTATCATAAACTCAAAATTTCATCTATATTTTTTAGGATGGCACGAGAAAGACCCCACCAATCCACTGTTCCAGCCCATTGAATTGCTCCAGAAGAAGGTCGATGGAGAAAAACTTGGTCCAAAAACCGGCGAAGGATTCTACAAATATAAGAAATAAATTGAGATACTTTTATTTGATCGTTGCTGATTGTCCTGTAGTCAAAAAAATTTTTTTTTATTTTCTCTGCAGTCGAAAAAAAATCAATTTTATTTTCCACCGCAGCGTGCACCACCATTTTTATTGCAAAAATTGGACTGGAATCAGAAGTTCGAAGCCGGATTTCAAGAAGGCCTGGAACGCTGCAAGGATCTTGAGATTGCCAAAGACGATTTTGAAAAAGAACTTTCCATTTCTGCAGAAAACAAGGCACTTGAAGATTCCAAAAAGAAGTTTGAGAAAGAAGTTGATCGATATAAGGAATTGAATCAACAACTTGAAGCTGAATGTCAACGAAAAGAAAAGATGGTCAGAAAACTTCAAGAAGACCTGGAGAGATCGGATAATCAGCATATCGTGAATCAGCACATGCTGAAGAAGCACAAACAGAGAATTGAACTCGAAATTGAGAGGAATATGAGTGCTGAAAGTCATATCGACAATTTGATGGAAAAGATCAGGAAACTGGAAAAGCAAATCCAAAATTTGCAAAAGCTTGAACCTGAAGATCAGAAACGCGACGAATCTGAAGACAGAAGGGCCGAAGACAGTCCTAGCGAACGGTCAGAGGGAACTGAAAGTTTTGTGAGACTCGATGAATCGTCCGTCGATGGATACTCCGAAATTGATCAGGACGACTTCCAAGTTTCCAAGCAGTCATCATCATGATGATAAGAGTTCCATTTTATGTCAATAAACATTTGCTTTTTTTGTGTTTGTCTCAAGATAATGTTGATTTAAGACAAATAAAATCTGGTTGAAAGAATTTGCAAAATAAATATTCTTAGCTGGCCGTTTTTATTTCTGAATTTTTAAAACTTTTTATGTATTCCAGAGCGACGCACTTTGTAAATTCGAGATGTAAATTTCTGAAACTTTTATAAAATATATTTCAAGTGATGTGCAATGGAGTTGTAGCGTCATCAATTTTACAAAAAAGTCCACATTGAAAGCTCACAAAAGGGTTAATTCTGCAATGACCCTCCCTTTCTTGTCTGCCGTCCATTTCCTCACGAGCTCGGGTCAACGAAGAATGCCGAGAAATGAGCAGAAAAAGAACCGCGTTCTTTGCTATCAGAGATCATCTGACGACACCTATGGTAATAGAAGCATAAAGACGCAGATATCTTTTCGCGACAGACTGATAGTTAGCTTTTTGTGTTCTTGTGTTTATTTTTTTTTTGTTTCTTTTAATTCCTTTTTTTGTAGATTTTGCACATCTATCGCTCTAGGCTAGTTATTAGTATTTTCATAACCTGCATGGAATTTTTTTTGCTTTCACACAGTGCATCTTTAAATTTTCCCACGCTTGTCGCCAACGCACAGTGCATTTTCCCTTTGCGCACCGTGCAAACCACAAAGAAAGCGGTTTGCACTGTGCAAATGTTTGAGCTGGAACATTTGCTGAGCCCTTGGAAAAAGCTCAGGCCTCAGAACTCGTTCTGCATCTATGTTTTTTATTTCAGATTGTCACAATCCATATCTGCTGAATTATACGATCATGGTGAAGTTTATCGTGGACCAGACGGTTGGCGAAACATTCCAGTTTGAGAAGGAAATCGGCCGAGATTGTCATTTGACGATTTGGGAGGTTTTTTTAGACAGATATGGACTCCGTAATTCTGATAGTAATCGCTACTTCGATTCAAACTGGATTGAAGAATGCACGGTGAACGGGAAAAGCTTGTCGTCTCATGAGAAACTCCAACCAGAATATGAAACAATCTTTGTCAGACTGTGGCCTCTTTGGTTAAGTTCCTTTTATTTCTTTACCTTACAACGAATGCTTTTGAATGCTCAGATTTTAATGAAACTTTTCATACATCTGATTATTTCCCTTCATTTTTACCGTTACAAAGGCTCGGGAAGACCCCGCATCCCTTTTTTTCTGTGAATTATAGTAGACGTTTTTAGGTACACTTCACGATTCGTTGTAAGGACAATCCAGATTTGTGTCTTGAAACTCGTGGTGCTTGCGGCCGCTGTGAAACCGTTGGCGATGCGGTACGGCGGATAATGAAGGAGAATGGCAAACGTCCGGAATTTTGGATATCTAGTATGACAAGAAAGATCTATGACATTTCTTCTGATTGGTAAATACGGTTATGACCCACCGGCGGAAACCCTTCTTTTGGGGCAGATTCCATTTACTAGAATTTTCATAAAGTGCGTAGACTTTTGCACTTTCAAAATTCTCCAGGCCCGGGCCGGCCTTGGGAGTTGCGGCCCGGGCTTGCGCCGCCTTGGTTAATCAATTGAGTGGTTGTGAAGTTTTTATTCTAACAATTTTTGGCTGCTTAAAACGTCGGTGGAACATAATCGCATATATTCAGTGAGGAATGGCACTATGTTAATGCATTTGCGCATTACGACGTGAACATCCGCCCAAAAGTAGTATGTTTCTTTTACCTTTATACAGGGGGGCCCGGGCCGCGGGCCTGGGGTTTTTTCCGGCCCGGCCCGTCTTAATTACAATGCCAAATCGTTGGCATTCATTGTTTTCGCGCCGTAAAATTAATTGATTTTGTTATAGTTGCTGTTTCTCAAGTTCTAAAACGTTTACAAGTCTATAGTTCCATTATAAAACCACGAAACTATCACATTGCACGTCAAACTGAGGATTCCGGTGACCGGAATAGACTCTTCGCTATCGGTTTTTTACATTTCGTCTATTTCGCAGAGAAAGAGAGAAAAAAGACACGCAAAAACGTACTCTCTCGCCCCAAAAATTCCCCATTTCTTCCGCGACAAGACGCTTTTTCGCGTCTTTTTTTGGCAAATTACCAATCCATTCACCGGACTGTTTTAGCTTATCTCAGTTTGACGTGCATTGAACCTTTACTAGCTAGATCAACGACTTTTTTGCCTATGTTTAGATCCCAAGCTTGGGCGCAGTTCGCAGAACCCTCTATAAAAGGCCGGGCCGGGCCTGGAAAAGGACTAGACGGGCCGGGCCGGTAATTAGACGGGCCGGGCCGCGGGCCGAAAATCGGAAAAATAGGGTCCGCTGACCACCCCTGCCTTTATATTTTTTTCCGAAATTTTACATGTGTTTTGAACAAGTTTCAAATTCACGTCGACACTGTGCTCCAACCTTATAAAGATTGTGTTTAATTATTTTTTTCTCAGATTTACTTCGAGTTCTGGCACAATCAGGTGGAAGAAGTCGTGGAATGTTTTGTTGAAATGGGAGACGTTGTATACGAAGTCGCTCGCAAAGCCTTGGAGGAAAAAAAAGTCGATGTTTCAAACTTTGATATCCATATTTTCCGAGATGTAGGTTTTTTTGCTTCGTTACCAACTCCCATTCAAATACTTTTACAAATTTTTAATTTTATTTTTATAGCGTGGTGTTAAAATGACGCCATTTTGTAAAGTAGACCGTTATAAAGAACACTACTTGATTGAGTTAATCCCACGCAACAATAAGTGTAGTCTTGATGAAGGCAAAGCTCAAACCAACTCTTCAGAAGTTGTGGAGAAGAAAGACCAGGACACGCCAGATTCTCGAAGTCCACGGCTCTCAGAACCTCGGCAAAAAGAGAAAGAAGAGAAGAGTGGACAGGTCTCCGCTGATTTGGATTCAAAACTCTCGACCATTATTGACATGCTCACAAAAGTTGCTGGTGAAGTCTCTTCAACGTTGGCTTCAAGTCAACCGGAAACCTCCAAAGAAAAGGACAGCCAACTTCTCAACCCAAAAGAGACTGTTGAATACAAGAAGTTGGAGGAAGAGTACGAAAACCTTCGCAGTGAGTTAGAAACCACCAAGGATGACTTTAAAAAAGAGCTTGCGAGGTCGCGAAATTTCAACGAAGAGATTGACCGTCTGAAAGAAGTTACGCAAAAGTTAGAAGCCAAAGGCCTCAGGCACGAAGAGATTCAACACAAATTCCAAGAAGGCCTTGCTCTCCTCAAGGAATTTGAAATTGCCAACGACATCAAAAAAGAACTTATCCTTTCTCAAGAAAAGTTTCAAAAGGCACTCGAAGATTCCCAAGAGAACTGTGAGAAAGAAATTGGTCGATATAAGGAATTGAATCAACAACTTGAAGCTGAATGTCAACGAAAAGAAGAGATGGTCAGCAAACTTCAAGAAGACTTGGAGAGATCGGATAGTCAGCATACCGTGAATCAGCACATGCTGAAGAAGCACAAACAGAGAATTGAACTCGAAATTGAGAGGAATATGAGTGCTGAAAGTCATATCGACAATTTGATGGAAAAGATCAGGAAACTGGAAAAGCAAATCCAAAATTTGCAAAAGCTTGAACCTGAAGATCAGAAACGAGAAGAATCTGAAGACAGAAGGGCCGAAGACAGTCCTAGCGAACTGTCAGAGGGAACTGAAAGTTTTGTGAGACTCGATGAATCGTCCGTCGATGGATACTCCGAAATTGATCAGGACGACTTCCAAGTTTCCAAGCAGTCATCATCATGATGATAAGAGTTCCATTTTATGTCAATAAACATTTGCTTTTTTTTGTGTTTGTCTCAAGATGAGGTTAATTCGGTCACAAGAAAATCATCTTTCAGTCTTTGACTTTTGGATTTTTGCTTTTTCGCAAGGCTTACGACCGTTTCGTTCAACGAATTTTTCTATGATTGAGTCTTATACGTAGACGTAAAAATTTAGCAAATTAAATGTTGAAATAATACTGTGAGCCATATTGAGCAACTCTGTAAAATATTTTTGAAAAACATGTTATGAAGACGGACTTATAACAAATTTATTGACTTAACGAAAACGGTGTGCAACGTCGACACTTTTCCAATAATTATTTTTTTTGTAGAAACATTAAGTCCGCCTGGCCTTTTCTCTTTGTTCACATGTTTTTGCATCGAGGTTGTTCAACAAAGCCGGTGACATTTCCACGATAATGATCAGTTCATAATACAGGTCATGTGTGCTCATCTTTAAAATACCAAGTTTAGGGGTATAAATAGCTGCCAAATTTTTATACAATGCTGTGAGGGGAAGTGGAATGTTCATGTGGTCGGTTACCGTTCTCCTAGCGCTCATCGTTGCCGGCAACGCTCTGGAAAATGAGAAAAACGTCTCGGTAGGGCTTGTGCTTGACAATGAGAAGGAAGGAATGCCTTTGAATACGATAGAAAAGCCTGAAGAAACGGCTGAGACCTTGGAATTGGACCTTCCCGGGTTTGAAGGTTCGACAATCCATGTTAAGCTGGTTGAAGACGACTTGTTGGAGATGAAGTGGAAACACATTCTTTGCAAGCCCTGCAGGCACCTCTTCAAAGCGCTGAGGAAAGAGCTCAACGACGGAGCGGGCTTGACCAAGGAGAAACTGAAAAAGGCAATCCATGTGAGTGGAAGAATCTTTTCCTGGCCGTGGTTAGACCCTGGGGAGTGCTCCAAGGGCCACGCTCAGATCTTGAAGAAACTTGGCAAAAATTTTGACTTATTCTTTATATGACAAATTCGAGATTTCTTACTCGCGCTTTGCAGAAACAACCAAGATTTTAGCGCAAAAAATGACAAAAATGAGACTTCCTTTTTGTAAATTTTGGTATGGAGAATTTCATGCTTATTTCAACCATAGAGGGTAATGTTTACATAAAAAATCATTTTTTTCCTATCGAAACTGCCAACGATATGGCCTAAAAGTGTTTCTCTGAGCGCTCTCCGCATTTCTCGCACTCTCTCGGCCGCAAAGATGGTTGAATATCTCGGCTGCGCCTGCAAAACGCGAGCTAAAACTTTGAAGAATTGATATGTAAAGCATGCTCAATATGTGTGAAAAATTTAACGCAAATCTGAGCGTCGCACTTGAAACCGTTTGATAGCAAATTTTGAGCCGTTACGCAAGACATTGCAACGCTTTTTACGGTTTTTAATAAGCATTTTTAGCATAAATGTAAGGAATTTGGTGGTCTGGTAGCAAAGGTGTGCAATAAATTGGGAAGAAAGGCGGTCGACGCTTTGTACGATTCGATCGTCAAGGAGGACATGAAAATTCATCCACGCCACTGCTGCAAGAAAATTGGACTATGCAAATAAAAGAGCGGCAAGTACGAAGAGACAAGACATATTTCAGACAGTCATCAAGAGAATAAACTTATTTGTTAAACACTGTTTTCCAACTAAATAAAAGTCGGTAAATTTATCAGTCTGCCGGAGTTACGGAAAAATTGCGTCCTATTTTCACGTTTAGTGGGCCAACAGATCTATTTTTACAAAGCATATATCCATTTTAAAATCAGCAGGCAAAATGTTTCTTAAAATTCTAAAGGTCTAGTATAATATCGGGGCAGTGTGGGTAGCAGGTGGACCTTATGTGGCCTTGTCATGTACGATTTAGAAGCGCTTTATCTGAGCTTCAAACCTGTGTATCCAACAAACTCCGTACTGCGTTTCAAAGCTTACAAGAATTCGCAAAAATCGACGACCCAAAAATTTGCAAGACTTATGGGACACCCTAATAAGTGCAAAAATCCGCCTTTTGTATGGGGTTTCCCCAAGAATCCTCCATTTCCGACATCTCCCATTCCCACGAAATTTCCGGAACCCGGCTATGTGCAATCGCCAACAAAGAAATCGGGTCGCGGCACCCGCGGAATTCGTTCATCCCTTCACTTTTTTTTATCACTCGAAAGAGAAAGTTGCAAATCGCAATCATCGCCGAATTCGGGTCAATCGCAGGTGCTATAAAAGTGAAAGCGTTTTCTCGACGTTTTCAATTTCCGTTCCATTCGTTTTTTCATCGGCGAAAGCGATGTGGAGCGACCAGACGGCCCGGAATGTGGCCTATTTCGCCGCGTTCTCGAGTGCGGCCGCGTTGACCATGTTGCTGGTCACAGTGCCGTATTTGTTCATGATGACCGGCCAATTGGAGCAGGAGATTATGGAACGGTCCGGCGGGTTCAAAGTCAGTTTTTTGGGGACGTTTTTGGCCTGGAGTAGGCTTACAGGGGAAGTACCCCAAGTGCGACGCTCAGATTTTGATGAAACTTGGCACAAATTTAGAATAATTTTTCCTAAGACATGCGAGAATGCTAGCTCGCGCTTTGCAGAAACAACCGAGATTTTTAGATCGAAAGTGGGCCAAAATTTAGGACTTTTTGCCGAATTTCGGCACCAAAAGTTTCATGCCTATTTCTACCGTAAAGGATAATGTTTCTACAAAAAATCAAAATTTTCCGCACGAAACTGCCAAAGTTATGGCCAAAAAGCGCTTTTCTCTCTGACCGCTCTCCACGTTTAGCCTGCTCTCTCGGCGGCAAAAATCGTCCGATATCTCGGCGGCGCCCGCAAAGCGCGAGCTAAAACTTTCAGGAATTGATATTTAGTCCATACCCGACGTTTGGGATACTTCCCTTGCTAGTTAGTAGAAATAATAAGATCGAGGAAAATCTGAGCGTCGCACTTGGAAACCTTTCTTCCTTAATTTATGCCAAATTTTACTATGGTAGGAGGTTTATACCCTTGAATTTTTTCCCCAAAAATATCAAAATAAAAACCAATTTGCCCTATTACATATAATTAATCCTTACTATAAAAAAATCTAAAAAAATTTTCAGCTCCGAACCGACAGAATCTGGACCGAGCTCATGATGATCACCATGAATTCCCCGACTCAAAACACAATCTTCTTCAGCCGTCGGCCGAGAGATTCGTTTTGGGACAAGCGTTTGTGCCAAGGCTGTCACTCTCTGGGCTGTCCGGTTGGTCCCACTGGACCAGCTGGAACTCCAGGAGACGATGGAGTGCCTGGAACGCCCGGAATGCCCGGGGAAGCTGGAAATGACGGATTCGATATTCAACTGGAGAATGAGCCAGAACTTCCGTGTGTGATCTGCCCTGGAGGCCCACCTGGACAGAGGTAAGGAGTTTGGAAGTGATGAAAATTTGCATTGAGAAAAATTTTGCACTGTGTAAAAATTTTTTTTTGATTTTCCGCACTGTGCAAAACTTTTTATTTCCCGCACTGTGCAATTTTTTTTTTCCGCACGGTGCAAAATTTTTTTTTCATTTTCCGCACTGTGCAAAATTTTTTTACCTTCCGCACTGTGCAAAAATTTTTCATTTTCCGCACTGTGCAAAAAATGTTTACCTTCCGCACTGTGCAAAACTGTGACAAAACTTTGCAACATGCAAAAAAAACTTTCTGAAAATTTTAGGAAACTAAAATCTATTTTTTGGTACCTTATGAAATATGTGCTACAAGAAAATTTTCCCCAAACTACCCCATTTCCATTGTTCCAAAAAATTTTCTCTCTTCAGAGGTCAACAAGGAGAACGAGGCCGTGCTGGAGGTCAAGGTCCAGTTGGCGGACCCGGGCCCGACGGTCGGACCGGCTTGCCAGGTCCACCTGGGTTCCCAGGAAGAGCTGGAGCCCCGGGAATTCGTGGAATCGAAGGCCCACAAGGCCCTCCTGGCGATACCGCAGTTGCCGGCGTTGGGATCAAAGGAGTTCGTGGCCCGCCCGGTCCAGCCGGACCGAAAGGCCCTCCGGGCACGTTCGGGCGTCCCTCCAAAGAGGCGGGAGTTCCGGGCCAGCCCGGGCCGATGGGACCGCCCGGACCGGGCGGAAATCCCGGTCTACCCGGGATGGAGGGATCGTTCGGGCCTCCCGGGGAACCGGGACAACCTGCGGCGTATTGTGCGTCCGACTGCGGAGTCACGCATATTCTGGGCGCTCAGCTGGACAAGATCTCCGGCCCAAGTCAATACGGAGGATACAATCGAGGGAACAGTGGCGGAAATGGATATGCCCCCAGTCAGTACTGGTTCTTGTAATTTTTTATATGCTTCGTATAAATAAAAATTGAGGATCGTATTATACTTTGCAAATTGAAATTTGGAAAAAATCTCTCTAACAGTGTTGGAAAAGTAACTAGAAACACATCCAATTTGGCTTGATAAACATGATAAACTATGTTATAGTAGATGGCTAATAAAAAATAAAGTTTTTTCTTGATTCCAAAAGGAGATTTCCTTCGAATCATTAGTAAACAGGACCACACCTCATCCAGAAGTTCATTTACGTTGATTTGAGCCCTCGTTTTACTCAACAATTCGACCCAAAACAAAAAAAACATTATTTGGGAAAGAGTCAACTCTCTCTCTCTCTCTTTTGCGCCAAGTCTTCTCCCAAAGAGAGAAATTCAGGGGTGGTCGGCGGGCCGGGCCGGCCCGGCCCGGCCCAAACGGGCCGGCCGGCCTCAAAAATGGAAATTGACAAACGGGCCGGGCCCGTCACGGGCCGGGCCGGGCCGGGCCGCGGGCCTGGGGTTTTTTCCGGCCCGGCCCGGCCCGTCTAAAATACAATGCCAAACCGTTGGCATTCATTGTTTTCGCGCCGGGAAAATTAATTGATGTTGTTATAGTTGCTGTTTCTCAAGTTCTAACACGTTTACAAGTCTATAGTTCCATTATAGAACCACAAAACTATCACATTGATCCTTTACTAGCTAGATCAACGCCTTTTTTGCCTCAGTTTAGATCCCGAGCCTGGGCGCAGTTCGCAGAACCCTCTATAGACGGGCCTGCACGGGCCGGGCCGGGCCGGGCCAGGCCCGTCACGGGCCGGGCCGGGCCGGGCCTGGAAAAAGACTAGACGGGCCGGGCCGGGCCGGTGATTAGACGGGCCGGGCCGCGGGCCGAAAATCGGAAAAATAGGGTCTGCTGACCACCCCTGGAGAAATTGCGAATTTTATCAATTCCGAAGAATTCCGCGGAAATCTTTTTTTCGGAAGACGGAAACGTGTTGTTTCTCTGGCCACAGCACGTGTTTCTGCTGGAGGAATTGTGATTTTTGCCCGTATTCGTCGATATCCGTGATATTTTACTGCTAAGTGATATTGTACTTGTTTCAGACCTGTTTTGACCACGGTATGTCTTTAACAGAACATGGAGAAAGACATGTAGACGATCTTATTGCCATAATCAATGAGCATGTCGAGTTTAATCAAACAGAGTCGGAAGCAACGGCCGCCGCGATCAATCTTTTGTGCAGATTTACACTTGAAACAGGTGGGAAAACTTTTTTGTTTTTTTCAATGTTTAGATTCCTTTCTGGAGGTGTTTGCCGTTGCCAATCGAAAGATAAGATTGTGGGCTTTCGTTTGATATGCGATTTACCCTCATTTTCTTGCAATTTATATGGCTTTTGACAAACTATATTACACTTGCCAGGCCAAGTCTAACTTTTTCCAAATTTAGGTGATAAGAAGACGGTAGAGAAGTCCTGGAGGTTCTTGGAGACGATACTCAGCCAATTCAATCTGCTGAAGGTTCTGCGATGTGAAATTTCCCCAACAATCCTCGAATGGATGCAAAATGAGGATCAGACGCTCAAGTCGGACCTTGTTTATGGCCGAAAGTCTCAAAAAAGGCCTTCATTTTATCGAACAGAGCACAACTCTTCCATGACTCCGACGTTCGTGATGTGGGACCTGTATCAGGTGATCAAATGGCATCGGTTCTTCTTCGGCACACCTCCCGAATCCTCGCCGAATGAGCTGGACATTGTGTTGATCGTGTTGCGGACGCTCGGCACGTTCGCTCAGCAGTCGTTGGAGAGCTCGGTGTTGGAAGTGATCTTCAAATACTGTCCCACCTATCGGATGCCCAGTTTCGAGATGGTTTTGGAGGACAATTCCCTGAAACTTTTGGAGAATTGGCTGAGTTTGGTCGAATTATCCGTCAATTTGGGGATTTTGGCCTGTCAGCGAGCCGAGAATGGAGATAAAGACAGGGAAGAGGCGTTCGAACAATGCGTAGTGGAGACGGTTCGACATGCCCTGGGACATTGTCGAAAGTTCATTTCGGTTTGCGAGATCTTGGAGGAAATTATCCAGAGCCGATCCGAGACGGAGAACTTGATGAATGTCCTGGAAAGGCTCAATTTCTTGTCTAAAAAGTAAGTATTTTCCATTTTGTTGTCTTTTCTGAGTTTAGGAACCACTTGGATTCGAGTTGGAGCAACCTTTTTTTGACCTTTATATTGATGTAGATACCTGATCAAAAACCTCTCGGAATGAGTCGAGTGTCACAAAAAAATCTCTAAATTGATGTTTCATCACCTTCTAAACACCCTGAACCATCTGTATTTTCAATTTCAGGTTTTTCATGAAGTCCATCAACTTTTATCAGACCAATTTCCCTCTTTCCACCAAGACCCAATCCACAATTTCCGAACTTTTCCTCTTCATGGTCGATAATTTCATTGATCACAACGACTCCAAGGTGCTGTATGAGGTGGCCAAGTGCATGATGCAGACGCTTTCCCAATCCAAGCAAAGAAAAACACATCCGGAGGGGCTGAATTGCCCAGCTCGGCTTGTTTTCTGCATCTTCTCCAAGATCATGGAGCATTTGAAGCGAGATTCGTAAGTTTTTTTGTCAATTGTTGATTCGAAATTTAGTGATGTCTTCGAGGACTTGCTCGACTTGATTTCCAAGTGCCCGAAGGGCTTTTGCCAGTGCGTGGATCAAGCATCTTTCCTCAAAGTTATCATGCTGCCAGTTTACACTGTGCAACACGTAAAAAAGATGGCAGATCTGGTGGAATATCATTTCAACCGGGCGAAAGAAGAGAGTAAAATCGACCTGAGACAAGTGTGGTTGTTGTTCGATCAATGGCTCAGCAAGAAAGATGTGTTGGTCTCCACGGCAGTCCTCAAAATGTTCAACCATCTGGCAGCTAGTAGGTGTAATATAAAATTCTTTTTTTCTTTAGGTTTATTGTCTCCCAAAGGCTTTAATGGGTTTTAATAAGCAAGTAGAGAGAGTGTTCTGTCATATTATTGCTTTCAGTGATGTCGGACGATGATTTCCGTCGCGTGTCGAAGGTGATTTTGAATGCCTCCGTGATCGCCGAACCCAATGTAAAATCGAATGTTCACAATCGAATGATGGCCGTGTTTGCGGCTCGAATGCGACCAGGACAGTCCATAGACGACCTTGTGGACTTTGTAATCACCAACGACATTGATGAATGCATCAGCAACTCACATCTTCAAGACGGGTTTTTTGAACTTCTTCATGTTGTTCTGCTCTGCTCAGACGAAATTCAGGTAGGGAATTGGAAGAAAATTATTGGGAATTTATTGTTTATCATCTACGGACAAGTTTTTTTGAATAAAAACTTGGTTTTTGTCAAAAATTTTGAGATTTTTCCAAAAATCACCTAGCGTAATATAAAATTTCTTTCAGTTCTCACGCTGCTTTGACCTCAGCCTCATAAAATTCTCGCCAATACTAAAGACGGCTTTAACGGACATATGGGTACTTCTTTCGCCGTCGGCGGAGAATTGTTACAATGCCCTGAGGCGATTTCTCACCTTATTCAAGAATTGTTATTGCGCTGAAACTACGACTGGTAAGTGAGAAAAGAAGTTTTTTATGAAATGTTTAGGCTATTGAAAAGGTTTGGAGACTAATTTTAGCTGGATTATTGGCGATTTTTTCATGGATAATATAAAATTTCTCGAATTTCAGAATTTTTCGCCAAAAGTTCGAAAAAGTTGACGTTGGAACTGCAAACCCTGGCTCAGTCATGTGTGGACGTCCTGCAGAACTGCCAAAAAACGACGATCGAACTCAGCAAGGCCGCTCAATTGCTCTCTTTACTTTCGTTTTTGATTTTTCAAAGCAGTGAGGTGATTTTTTCGAAATTTTTTGCTTTTTAACCCCCATTTTTGTTCAAATTTGAGCTGAAAATAAAAAATAATACTTTTAGAAGTTCATAGCGCCCCTGAAAAGCTCAATTCACAAGGTTTTCGACCTGTCTTCGGCTTCAATTTCCTTCATGATCTTGCATTTCATGGTCCGGGACAGCTATATCCATGTAATCCGCCGATTTGACACCCCCGAACCGACCACTTCCCATGAGGAATCGGATGATGAGATGACACAGAGTGTAGGAACGACCACTGAGCAGATGAATGTGGTTTGTTCCCAGAAAATGTTCGGATTTATCATGGAATTGCTGAAAATCCTCATGAAAAGGATAAAAACCTACGAAGAAAGGATGGAATTCGAGCTGATTCAGGTGATCATGGCTGTCCAAGAGGTCCACGAAGAAATGACGGATACTGTGAGTTGATTTCAGCGGGGAGAAATGAGATTTTTTGAAGGAAAAATTGATTTTTTTGGGACTTGAGGTGATTTTTGGCGAAAAATTGGGAGAAAATTTAAAAAAAGAGGGAAATTAGGGGTAAATTTTTAGTTTAAAAGATGTCTAGGGTAATTTTGAAGGTCGGTAGAAGTGAAAGCTACCGTATTTTAGTTGAAAACTCCTTTTGGTTTTGAGATTTTATCAATTTTTGAAGGAAAATTGGAGTTTTTTTGGGATTTGAGGTAATTTTTGTCGAAAAATTGGGAAAAAATTTAAAAAAGAGGGAAATGAATGGTAAATTTTAAGTTTAAAAGATGTCTAGGGTAATTTAGAAGGTTAGTAATAGTGTCGACTACCGTATTTTAGTTGAAAATCCCTTCGGATTTTGAGATTTTATCAATTTTTTGAAGAATTTTGACGGATTTTCGAAAATTTTTAAATTTAAAAAAAATTTCTTTCAAAAATGACTGATTACTGCCTAAATATTATTGTAATTACATCTAATTTCAGTACATTTTACTGCTCTTTGACTTGATCGACGACTTGACCAAGAAAAATGCCTCTCAAGATGTCATGGATAAGGTCCTAAAAGAGGTTGTGGCTCGAATTGGAGAAGACCCAACCTCGAATTACCTCTCCAAACTCCTCGAACACGTCTTCCTCTCATCGGAAACAGCGAAAACCATAGCGAAATTGGTCAACGACCTGCTGAAAAACAACCCGGCCCAACCGACGGCCGCGCTCAGCTTCCCACAAACACTTTCGCCCACTGAAACGGTAGGAAAACGGGGATTTTTGGAGGGAATTTTTGGTTTTATGAATTGTAGGATGTGTAGAGAGTATTTCTAGGTATTGTTTGGGGTATGGAAGGGTCTTATCTTGCCATAGCAGCAACTTTTTTTGAAATTTTTTGGGATTTTGATGAGAAATTGAAAAAAATTAGATTTTTTTGGACAATTTTATTTGTGATTGGTATTTTTTTAGTAGTGTAAGTGTAAAATAGGGTCTTGTGGACATTATTGCAGTGATTTTCGATATCAGTTATTTTGGAAATTTTGATTTTTAACAGTTTTTTTTAAAAAATACGCTATTTTTTCGCTTTTTTTGTTGAAAATTGGAATTTTCTTTTGAAAAATGCCCTTTATGGTATTTCAAATGTCCGTACAAGGCTTGCAAAGAACATGTAGTTGATTTTCAGCCCGAAAGACGCTTCAAAAAAGCGGCCGCGCACTTTGTTTTGGACCCGGTTCACAATATCTGCGCCCCGGACGGCCTAACTCTCTCGTTTTGGATGTCCGCCGACCGAATGCTGGCTCAAACTCCCCTTCAGGTCGTTGAATTTGGCACAAAAAAGATTTCACTTCTCATGGAAATCGATTTGAAACGGAATATTGCCATAGTAAAGTGAGTTTTTTGGGAAAATTTGTAAAATAAGGTGGGAAATGAAAATATTTTTTAGATTTTTTATTGTTTTTGATGTAAAATTAAGTGATTTGGTTCCAGAATATCATTCGAAGGCAAGATTGTGGAGAAAATTGTGATTAAAAAGGCTTTTCCCACCAAAAACACCTGGACGAATTGCACTCTGGGCGTGGCGTGCAATGAAAATCAGATCAAAGCAATGGTAAGTGGAGTAGAATTGATGGGAAATGAGGTTTGTGAAGAGTGGAGAAGAGTTTCAAGTGATGGTTTGGGATTTTTTCAGCGGAAATTTGAAAAATTATATTGTTTTACAAGGGAAGTCACTTAAATCACGGATCGATTTTGTAAAACTACTGGTACAGCGATGGGGAGGGTAGCACGGAGATACCAAATCTGAAAACCGCTACCTCCACCGGCCTCTGGGAGCCGAGATAATCGACCAAAAAGTTTGACCAAATTCGTCCGAACATTTCTTCCTTCAGAAAGAAGAAAAGCCAGCGAACCGAATGGTCCGGTGGTCTGGAAGCGCGCTTCCGGGCCTTCACCTTTTCAGGTTCGAATCCGCGCGGGTCTCGAACTTGTGAAAAATTTATAAAACAGTTGATGTAATCCAGTAAATTTACTAGCAATTTGTTTTTAGATTTTATGCCTATTTTACGGTAAATTTTCAACCTGGAAAATCCAAAAAGTTTGGAACTCGCATTCAAATTATTACTCTGAAATTTCGTAAAATATGCAAAAAATCAAAAAACAAATTGCTAGTAAATTTACTGGATTACAGGAAAAGTTTAAAAAATTATTTGACCCATGCGGATTCGAACCTGAAAAGGCCAAGGCCCGGAAGCGCGCTTCCAGACCACCGAGCCATTCGGTTCTCTGCCCTGCTTCTTTCGGAAGAGAGGACTATTCGGAGCAACTTTTTTTAGTCAAACTTTTTTGGTCGATTATCTCGGCTCCCAGAGGCCGGTGGAGGTAGCGGTTTTCAGATTTGATATCTCCGTCCTACCTTCCCCATCGCAGTAACAGTCGTTTTTAAAAATCGATCCGTGACTTAAGTGACTTCCCTTGTTAGGTAAAAATTGAAATTTTCTGGAAAGTTTTAGATTTTTATGGGCTGTTTTTGAGTATAAGTGCTGTGAAGGGAGTCGAAAAGGACTGTCGAGTCATCATTGGTCGAATGGCAAAAATAAAATCAATAATTTTTAAAAATTTTGGATTTTTTGCGAAAAATTTGAAAAATAATTTTTTTGGGTAAAATTGGTGTTTTTTTTGTGAATTTTGAGTTTTAAAAAAATGCTTTTGGAGTGGAAATGTTGTATACTTGGTCTAGTCTATAGAGGCGTTGCAAAAAAAAAATCAAATTTTTGACAAAAAATACCGAAGAAATCTCAAAAATTCGATTTTTCACCCAAAAAATTTATGACTAATGATTGAAAATTACAGTGAAAGAACTTTCTTATTTGATTTTGCCAAAAAAATTAAAAAAAATTTTACGAGGAAAGTACTTCTATGGGGTATGGAGTTACATACAGGTCGGGACATTTAGCTGCCCAATTTTGGTTTGTAAGGGCGAAAAAACCATCAGAACTTTTCTCGCAACACCACGCAAATGCCCCTTTGTTACATTGGAACAACTGTAGTATTAATCAAATTTGATATGAGGGCTTTTTCGTCCTTACAAACCAAATTTGGCAGCTAATTTTTACATATTCTGAATCAGAAAAATTTTGCGATATTTTTGATATATGACTCGACCTGTAACTCCATACCCCGTAGAAGTACTTTCCTTGTGAAAAACAGAATTTTTTTTTTTCAATTTTTTGACCATTTTTTTGGACCTTTATAATTTTTTTGATAAAATAAAATAAAGAAAAGTTCTTTCACTGTAATTTTCAATCATTAGTTATAAACTTTCTGTGTGAAAAATTGAATTTTTGGCTGTTTTTTTCGCTATTTTTTGTCGAAAAATTTGATTTTTTTTAGATTTTTTGCGATTTTTGCTATGCTTCTATAGACCAGACCAAGTATACAGCATTTTCACTCCAAAAGCACCTTTTTAAAACTCAAAATTCGCGAAAAAAACGTCAATTTTCCCTAGAAGAATATAGGTGAAATACCCATAGAAGTATCCTTGCGAAAAATTTTTTTTTGAGGTTTTGATCGGCGCCCATCTCCGCCAAATCTCCTCCCTGAACAAGGACTACATCGGCGATCAGAACCCGTTTTTTGTGTCGTTCGGCACCACCTCGCCCCAACCAACCACCCCCTCTTACTCCATCAGCAATTTGTTGGGCTTCAAGGGCGTCCTTTCGGCCGATTGCGCCATCCTTTTCAAGGCGATGGGAGTGAACAGAGCCTCGTTGAACTGCTGTGTCCTCGGCCAGACCAATTTCGGATTCCTGAATTCGGTCAGCAAAGGCATGGTGGAGGGCAAACCGGACCTTCACAAGCTCTTTTCTGAACCCAAATTCTATTTGGATAAGTTGCAGGTGAGAAAAATGAGAAAAAAGTGATTTTTTTGGTGATTTTTAGAAGAAAAAGTTGATTTTTTGGAAGTTTTGGACGATTTTTTGGATTTTTTTTGGTATGAAAGTCATTTTTTTGGTAGAAAAGGACTTAAAACCGATGAAAATGTTTGAGAAATAGGAGTATTGTAATTTTTGTTAATTGAAAACGATAGAAATTGACCGATTTTTTTGGTTGAAATTTAAATTTTTTCGAATTTTGGACGATTTTTTGGAATTTTTTTATATAAAATTAGTTTTTTTAATGGAAAAGGACTTGAAATAGATTGAGGTTTTTAATAAATAGGACTATTGTAATAATGACCAGTTGGAAAAATAGAAATTGACCGATTTTTTGGTCGAAATTTGATTTTTTTGGAATTTTTGAACGATTTTTTGGAATTTTTCGATATAAAAGTAGTTTTTTTAATAGAAAAGGACTTGAAATAGATGAGAATGTTTGTGAGGTAGCATTATTGTGATATTTACCAGTTTAAAAAATAGAAATCGACAGATTTTTTGGTTGAAATTTGGGTTTTTCGCGATTTTTCGGAATTTTTTCAATTTTTTGCCGAAAAACCCGGATTTTTTACTCTAAAAGTTAATTATTCTGCAATTTGAGGCTTGTAGAATATACCAGCTATATTTTCACTACCATAAATTGCCGAAAACTATTCATTTTTATCGGATTTTTCAAGATTTTTTGCGAATTTTTCCCGAAATTTTGATGATTTTCTAATTTTTTTGTTTTAGAGAAGCCTATTATTCACAATATTTGCGGACCGCGCCCATTCCTATAACCTAAGTGTTCTGCAGCGCGGCATGGAGGTGGAGAAGTTCAACTCGGGCCAGACTTTGTACCTGACCATGTCCCAGGAGATCCCCTTGACCTGGAAATGCCTCATCGAATCCAAATCCCCCGATGTTTTTGACAAATCACTAGTCACTATTGGTCATATCAAAGTTCTTTTACTCTATTTTGCATTGGTAAGTCTTGGATTTTTGGGGGAAAGTGGATTTTTTGCGTAAATTTTAGTTTTTTTGAGTTTTTTTGGTGATTTTTTAGGTAAAAATTAATATTTTTTTGATGTTTTTTGGGATATTTTGGGTAATAAACCGTTTTTATGAGGTTTACAGTCCAATAGCAGCTTTTTAAAAATTGAGATTTGCTCAAAAATTATTAATTTTTACCTAAAATAATATAATTTTGGCAAAAAAGCAAAATTTTTTTTTTGATTTTTGATATGATTTTAGACTGTGGACAGAGATTATGACCCGCTGACTCAAGCTGAAGCACTAAAAACTCTGACAACGGCGTTAAAACGAGACCCGACGGCTTTTTCGGCGTTTTTGGAGATGGATGGACACTCGGTTTTGGCCCGGATTTTAATGTCCAAAAAGTTTATCCTCTCCGATGAAGCCTTCAAGGTAGGTTGAGAGGTCTTTTAAGAATTTTTTGAGCGTATTTTAGGAATATTTTTTTTGTGTTTGACCATTTTTTTGGACCTTGTTTTAGGTACTGTGCCGATTTATTTTCACGAAATTGGAACTCGAAAACCCCTCGATTTCAAGCTCCCCCCATTCGCTGATCACCGAACCCAAGCTGTTGGTCACCCTGATTTCGACCGTTCCGATGTGGAAGAACGAAAGTTTTGCAAAGTTTATCAACTTGATCAACCTGATTCACTCGGTCACTGGCGACTCGAGATTCTCCAGAAAGTTGAAAGCCTTCAATCTGGCACAACTAGCATCCAATAATTTTTTACCTGCGGCGCTAAATGTAGGTTTGAAAGAGGTTTTGGGAGAGTTTGGACATTGTTTTAGGTGTTTTGGTGGAAATTTTGAAAATTTTTTAATTTTTTTTAAATGTTTGTGTATTTTCGTTTGTATAAAAGCGTCAGGGTATGTAAAGACTGTTTATGACACTTGAGTTATTTTGCGGACTCATTTTGAGTTGATTTTAGCAATTTTGGACCTTGTTTTAGGTGTTTTAGGGGGAAATTTGAATGTTAAGAAAAAAATTTTGAAATGTTTTGGGTTTTGTCGTTTGTATAGAAGCGTCAGGCCATGTGAAGACTGCTTATGACCTTTGAGTTATTTTTCGAACTCAGTTTGGGTTGATTTTTGCGATTTTGGATCTTATTTTAGGTGTTTTGGGGAGAATTTTGAATATTAATAAAAAGATTTTTTTGAAATGTTTTGGGTTTTGGCGTTTGTATAAGCTTCAGGGTATGTAATGATTTTTTAAAGACTTTTGAGTTATTTTGCGAACTCATTTTGAGTCGATTTTAGCTATTTTGGACCTTGTTTTAGGTTTCTGAACGTTTTTTTTGTAATTTTGCAAAGGCTTTGGTTAAAAATTTTGAGATTTTTTTTTTGTTTTTCCCCACATTTGTTTGTTTTTTAGCGAAGACTTTTGTCCATTCGTATTTTACAATTTCAGAGCCTCCTGGAGATGCTGAAGCATCCGGACCACTTCCAGACCGTCGATCGCGCCGAAGATTTCGCGCAGAATCTGTGCAATCTCGTCAAAAACTGCCTCGACTTCCCTTACAATTGCAGACAGGTCTCTTCCTTGTGGGATTTTATTCAACTCTCACATCCAGCACCCGATTTCTACATCGATAAGAGCATTCAGGGCCGCGGAGATTGGTTGGGATACGGTAATTTTGGTTTTTAAGAAGGTTTTGGGTCCCACCACGAAAACTTGAAAGTGGAAATTTTTGGTGTTATTAGTGTTTTTTGATGGTAGACGGTCTTGTTTGAAGGCTGTGGAGATTTTTTGTGCTGGAATTTTGCGAATTTTGGTTGAATTTGGAGATTTTGGGTCTCACCACGAAAGCTTGAAAGTGGAATTTTTTGCAGTTATTGAAGGTTTTTGATGGTAGAAGGGCTTATTTGAAGGTTGTGGAGTTTTTTTGTGCTGTGATTTTGCGTTTTTTGGCTGAATTGGGAAATTTTGGGTCCCACCGCGAAAACATGAAAGTGTAAATTTTTGCAATTATTGATGCTTTTTGATTCTAGAAGGGCTTATTTGAAGGTTGTGAAGATTGTTTTTGCTGGAATTTTGCGAATTTTGATTGAATTTGGAGATTTTGGGTCCCACCACGAAAGCTTGAAATTTTCGTCAATGTGAACTAAAAATTGATCTAAAATTGAAGTTTAGAAAAGGTTTCTGACGATAACAAATGAGATTATATTTTGTATTTGTTGTAAACACTGATTTTTGGGTCCCACCACGAAAACCTGGAAAGTGGAAATTTCTGCTGATATCAAGCTTTTTTCTCTTTTTTGGCTAGTGAAATTGAAATCTAGTGCCTTGTTAACTTTTATTTTGCCAAAATTTTCTGATTTTTTGGTAAAATTTGGGAATTTTGGGTCCCACCACGAAAATTTGGATTTTCTCAAAATTGACTCTAAATGAGCTAAAAGTAAATCATAGAGCTTGTGGACGCATTTGGAATGTTGTTTGATGATTTTTTCAGAGGAAACCGGCTTCACCGTGATCAAAGAACAGGAGCGAAAGATCTCGGAACTCTGCGAAGTCCTCAATTCCATGATGAAAACGCACAGTAAGGACGAGATTGAGAGCGTTTGGGCGTCCACAAATTCATTGCTGGCCATTCGGAAGACGTTTTTGGATCAGGATACGGAAAGGTAAAAAAAATTTTTTTTGGGATTTTCAATTTTGATGAGAATTTTTTGTATTTTTGTAATGTTTGGGTAAAATACGAATTGCCGAAATGAAAGAGAAATGTTTTAAAATTATTAAATTTGATTTTCACTCACTTTTGAACACTTTTTTGAGCTAAAATACGATCGAAAACTGAAATTTTTTCGAATTTTTGGCGATTTCCGGGTATTTCTTGATTTTTTGTGAGATTTTTGGACGTATTTTAGCGTGAAATGGATATGAGAATTGTTCTCATGGCCTTTTCTTTTGGTTGAAAGATTTTTTTCGCCGAATTTATACAGTATTTTATATAAATTTTGCCAACTTTCAGCAATCCCCGCCCATATTCGCCGCTCCGCTACCTCCCATACAACGGCGACTGCCCCTGCGAACAACGCAATCGCTCAGTGAGCGCAATTCCCGACTCGGAACACTGGCTGGTGCAGTTCCGCGCCGCCACAATAGCCCTCATGGCCGAGGTGATCCTTAATTGCAATGACTCCCTGATGGCCGTCCTTCAGTTGGACCTCATTTTTTGGCCCGCCATCCTGGTCCAGCTGACAAATCAGAAACACACAAAAGTCCGAACGTTGACCATAGTACTGCTGAAAAACTTTTTGGTAGGTCTGGAGAGGTTTGGAATTTTTGAGTTTGGGTCCCACCACGAAAAATTGAGAGGCTGATAAAGTGGAATAAAACGGTTAGAAATTGCTTTAGAAGTGGTCGAAGACGCTAGAAATTGATTTTAACTGTCGTATTATGGGATTTTTTTGAAATTGAGAAAATTTTTGGGTACCACCACGAAAAATTGAGAGGTTGAAAAAGTGGAATAAAACGGATGGGAATGGCTTTAGAAATAGTCCAGGACGCTAGAAATGGAATGCAAGTGTCATATTTGGGAATTGAGAATTTTTTGGGTCCCACCACGAAAAATTGAGAGGTTGAAAAAGTGGAATAAAACGGATAGAAATGGCTTTATATGTGGTCCAGGACGCTAGAAATGGAATTCAAGTGTCGTATTTGAGGGTTGGGGCATCTTTTGGGCCCTACCACGAAAAGTTGAGAGGTTGAAAAAATGGAATAAAATGGATGGAAATGGCTTTATAAGTGGTCCAGTGGGTTTAGAAAGTGTTTATGACGATAAAAATGAGGTTATAACTTCCTATTTGTAATATATAGTGATATTTGGGTCCCACCACGAAAACCTGATCTTGTCGAATTTTGACTAAAAATCGAAAGTTTTGGAGTTTTGAGCAGACTAGGTGATGACTTCGATTGTTTTTGAGATATTTTCTTTTTGAATTTATCATAATTTTTTGATCTTGAAATTTAATTTCCGTATTTTAGCTCCGAGTGGAAAGAAAACACCGAAAAAGTTTCGTCGACCAAAACGGATTCGTCTTCTTGGCCAACGAACTGAAGAAAACCCGTCTGAACTACGATATCGCCGATGCGATCTTCTCATTGACCCTAGGCGAACATGTCACTATCAGAAATGGGTAGGATAATATCGAAAAATCTAAAGTTTTTTTCGGTTTTAGTATCGATGCCGACCATTTGGAGGACTTTCGGTTCGATAAATTCCAATCCGCCAGTTTCTTCGCCCTTTTGGCGGTTCTGGAGCAGTCCGTGGAGGACTCGAACTTGTTCTGGAGCGTGTGCTCGACCATCGAAAAAATCATCGCCGGAGGCATGACGGCCAGAACCACCTTCCTGGACCACGGCCTGGTCCCCAGCATGATCGCGGTCCTCGTCAAAATGGACGAATTACATCATACGTAAGTTGCACGGTGCGAAAAATTGGAAATTCCGCTTGCACTGTGCGAAAGAAAGAGGGAAAGACTGCACTGTGCAGCGAAAAGAAAAGGAAAACTTGCCAGGTTTCGGCACTGTGCAGTCAACAAGTATTGCACTGTGCAGCCGGAAGAAAAAGAAGATTTGTCGCAACCGCACTGTGCGACGATTAAAATTGATTGCACGGTGCAAAAAATTAGAAATTGCGCATTGCACTGTGCAGTCAACAAGGATTGCACCGTGCGGCGGAACGAAGAGGAAAATTTGTCGCAACTCTGCACTGTGCGACGATGAAAATTGATTGCACAGTGCGAACCAAAAGAAGGAAGAAGAATGAGTGTGCACAGTGCAAATGAAAGAATGGATTGCACTGTGCAAAAAAATTTTTTGCACTGTGAAGTGGGAAATAAAATTTTGCACTGTCCGAAAAAGAAGTTGCCGCACTGTGCGGTAGAAATTGACGGAAGTTTTGCACAGTGCAAAAAGGAAAATGAAAATCTGCACGGTGCGAAAAATTAAATTTCCGATTTTTTAAGCGAATCCCTGAACGGCCCGATCTTTCCGATTCTGGATTGCTGGATGAAGCTGGCCAGATGCCTGATCCAAGGAGTTGTCCCATATAAGTAAGTTGGAAATGCAATACGAGTGAAATACGGAAAATTAAAAAAAAAATTTTTTTTGACTGCCTTTTTAGGAACAAAAAAGCCGTCCAACGCTGCGAGGATCTGGTGTATTTGGCCTTTGGCGTCGAGTGGAAACGTGATCTCGAGAGATGGGAGCGAAAATCGGTGACTGTAAGGCGAATGTTGTGCCATGTGCTGGTCGTGTGGATTGAATCGATACAAACTGTGCTCTCCGACCCAATGAATAGCTTCAAAAGCCTCGCCGATCATAGTAAGTGCGGTTTTTGGGGTTTGGAAAAGAAATTTTGGATTTTTGGGTCCCGCAACGAAAACTTGAGATGTTGGAATTTGGGGTGGGAAGGAAAGGTGGAGAGTTTCTGGGCTTTTTAGAGTGTTTATAAGCCGTTTTGGAATAAAATTCAGTCGTTTAGGGGCTATATTATACTTGATATTTGGTCCCGCAACGAAAACTTGGAATGTTGGAATTTGGGGTGAGAAGGAAAGGTGGAAGGTTTGTGGGCTTTCTAGAGTAATTATTAGCCGTTTTGGACTAAAATCCAAGCGTTTTGGGGCTATATTGTACTTGATATTGGGTCCCGCAACGAAAAATTGAGATGTTGGAATTTGGGGTAAGAAGGAAAACTGGAGAGCCTGTGGGCTTTCTAGAGTGTTTATAAACGATTTTTGATTAAATTCCAGTCGTTTTGGAGCTGTATTGTATTTGATATTGGGTCCCGCAACGAAAACATTTTTGATTGAATTTTGGCCAGATTGTTGATTGAAATTGTAAATTATGACCTTGTTAGTAGATCTAGACAAAAATTAAGTAAAAAAATTTGGTAGCATGACAAAAATTATATTATACTTGACAAAAGGCAGAAATTTTCGGAAAAATTTTAAAAAAAATATGTTTTTCTTTGCAGATCTCTCCGACGACAGCTCGGAATTCGAAGTTCTGGGCGTGGACTCGGATCTGGACTCGTATTACACCCACCCAATCAGCTACGTGGCCGCGAAATCGCTGAAATCGCCCGTGGAATTGGCCACTCAAGAGGAATTGGCGCAACGCTTGGCATTCGGCCTGGAAAGAGTGACCAATGTCTTCCTATACCTAAACCCATCGACGATCATGTGCGACGAGGAGGAGAACCTGTTCGATTTGCTGCTCTCGGTGCTGTTCCAGCACTCCCGCGTCCAGGACGAATGGCTCAAATGCCTGGGGCTGTGCAAGGAAAAAAACCGCATTTTGTTGGCCGATTTGATCGCCTTCCTCCTCTTTGATGTCCAGTCGAAGCTTCAAACCGAACGCAAAGAGCTGATGGACGAAAGTTTTCAAATTATCAAACGCCTGAAATTGGTCGACTACTTGGACAAGGAACTTTCAATCAACCGAATTGGCCTCCTCAACCTGCTGGAAGTGAATTTGGTGAGTTGGGACAGGAAGAATAGACCTTGATCTTGGATTTGAACAGAATTTTTTAAGGTTTCGTTTATCGACCGGTCGAAAAATGAGGGCGGAAAATGGCGATTTTTGGGGATTTTGAGGGAAAATTTTAATTTTTTTGAGGGTTTTTGAATAAAAAGTAAAATAAAAAATGTGGTATGGGATGTTAGAAGCCTGGTAGAAGAATGTTTTGTAAAAGAAAACGAGATTTTTTGAAGTTTTTCAAATTTTGAAAATTTTAAAATTTTTTGAAAATTGCATTTTTTTTGCTAAAATTGAAATTAAAAATTGTTTGTGAGGCCGAGAAATTTCTTTTTTTTTGGATTTTCACCGTTTTTTCGTTTTTGAAAATGAGATTTTTTAATTTTTTGAAATTACAATAAAAAAAATTTTAATTATAAAAATTGACCAAACTGAGTCAATAAAAGTATTATTAGACCATTTTGAGAGTGCATTGGCCATATTTTTTGATTTTTTAGGAAGAAAATTTATTTTCAGGACTACCAATACGCCTTCAAAATCGCCCTCCATGAACTGGGATTGATCTCCCGATTTTGGCCAATTGTCGACTCGGAACAGGCTTATTCCAAACTTGATCGGCTTCTGAAGTTTCTCAGATCCATCCAGCTGGATTCGCCGTTGTCGAATCTTACTGATCGTGAGTGAAAAATTCGATTTTTTAAGATTTTTTGGAATTTTTTGGGAAATTTGGAAAAATTTTGATAAAATTGTTTTTTTTTTCTTTGCAAAACGAGTTTTTTGGTAGTGAAATTGATACTACAAGGTGTCTTGAGCGTTCTATTTTAATTTTTACTGATACTTTTTTAGAAAAATTTTGAAAAAATCGCAAAAATTTGGTCGAAAATTGAGATTTTTTCAAAAATTTTTCATTTTTTTTGATTTTTTTTTTTCAAAATTAAAATTAATTTTAATCGTATTTTAGCGGAAATTGTAGCCCTGTCGACCGATGAAGTCCTCCTGATTCAAGTGTTCAACGAAAAAATTGGGAATTTCGGCCAAACTTTGCACTTTCGCGTCCAAGCCATTCAGACCAAGGAAGAGAGTTTTTTGCGGACAATCGGAGATGTAAGCGACCTCTAAAAATGCTCTCAAAGCCATGAAAAATCCTTTAGAAAGCCAACGACCTCACTTGCGAACTGGCCAAACTGCAAGGAACGCCGCGGAAAACGTCGAGCGCCCTGCGGAAAGAGGCCCAGTCCAGCCTGAACAGGGCCTCGGAAACCCTCTGGCATCTGGTCCGAGAACTCTGCCACCCATCCGCCGTCTTCCACGACCCCTCCTCCTGGCCCCAAGGATGGGCCTTGGACACAACGGAGAACCTGAAAAGGGAACGCAGACGCTTAAAACCGGCTCATTATCAGTTCCATGAGAGGTTTTTGAGAAAGGAACGGAGATTGAAGGTAAAGAAGAGGTCGGATTGGAGATTGAAATAGTTTTTTAGGTAGAATGAGGTGTGTTTTAGAATGGGAGGGAGTTTGGAAAAAATTTTTGGAGGATTTTTAGGAGTTTGAGTCGGTTTTTTTATATTGTACTTGATATTGATATAGGGAAATGTGATTTTTTGCTATTTTTTTGATGTTATTTGCCTGTAAGTGGGGTTTTAATAGCTGCTGTGGGGTATTTAGCGACAATGAAAAGTATTTTTCGGCAGTTTTTTATCGGAATTTTGAGATTTTTTGAAAAAATAGAAATTTTTGGTCGACTTGATTTTTGATGCCAAAATAAGCGATGCTAGTTGAAAAAGGATTTAATTTGCTTCAAAATTATGTGTAATTTTGAATGAATATCAGTAGTTATATAACGATAATAATTAATTGGCTCCGCCCACTTTTTAGGGGGCCAAAGGCCAACTGTGTTCAAATTGCATTACGTAACTACTGATATTCATACAAAATTACACATCATTTTGAAGCAAATTAAATCCTTTTTCAATTAGCATCACTTATTTTGGCATCAAAAATCAAGTCGACCAAAAAATTTCAATTTTGTTTCAAAATTCAAATTTTATTAAAAAATCCCAAATTCCGATAAAAAACTCTCGAAAAATACTTTCCTTTGTCGCTAAATACTGCATAAAGCTATTAAAATCCCACTTGCGGGCAAATAACATCAAAAAAAGCAAAAAATAACGTTTCCCTATATTAATATCAAGTACAATATAAAAAACCGACTCAAACTCCTAAAAATCCTCTGAAAATTTTTTCCAAACTCTCTCCCCTTCTAAAATACACCTCATTCTACCTAAAAAACTATTTCACTCTCCAATCCGCCCTCTTTTTTTCAGGCCCAGCTCACCGCCAAAACCCCACAGCCCCTGCAACGACTCCTCGAAGGCACGGTGGGCAAGTCGACCGCTGAATTAGAAGCCCACACACCGGTCCGGTTCTCGCTGAACGCGGTCCTGGTCCGCACCTTCTTCGAGTGCTCCGGCGACATTGTGGTCTCGGACAAGAAGCTCTATTTCATCGGGGAAATGGCCAAAACCACCCAAAAGGGCCAACACTACGAACCCGTGAATTACTCGTGGACCTTCGAACAGATCCGCGAAATCCAGTCCAGGTGGTACCTGCTGAAGGACACGGCCGTGGAGCTGTTCACCACCACCGGCGACGCCTTCATGATGGTCTTCTCCACCACGGAGCAAAGGAACTCCCTCCTCCATCAACTGGTTCAAATGAATCTGGCCGCCCTCATGGTGGATCCCGTCGTTCAACTGAACAGCGCCACCAAGTTGTGGAGAAATGGGATGATCACCAATTTTGAGTAAGGTTTTGGAAATGGTCGATATTTCGGTCGATTTTGGAGACCGGGGAATTAAATTTTAGGTTATTGAAAATGAATGATATGGCTTTGATTACTGTGATTTTTGGGGATTTTTGAGTTTTTGGATCGATTTTGAGCAAGGTTTTGGAAAATGGTCGATATTTCGGTCGATTTTGGAGAACGGGAAATGAAATTTTAGGGTATTAAAAATGAATGATCTGGCTTTGATTACTGTGATTTATGGGGGTTTTTGAGTTTTTGGATCCATTTTGAGTAAGGTTTTGGAAAATGGTCGATATTTTGGTCGATTTTGCAGAGCGGGAAATGAAATTTTAGGGTATTGAAAATGAATGATCTGGCTTCGATTACTGTAATTTTTGAGTTTATTGGATGTTTGGACTTTGTAAAATACGAGTTTCAATTTTGTAAGGTCCCGGCTTTTATGTTTTTGGAAAATGGTCGATACCTTGGTCGATCTTGGACAGCGGGAAATTAAATTTTCAGGGAGTGTTGATGAAGTGTCAGACTTTCGGTACTGTAATTTTTGGAGGGTTTTGGCTTTTTGATTTTGTAAAATACGCGTTGTAATTTCCTAAGGTCATGGGTTTGTATGTTTTTGGAAAATGGTCGATAACTTGGTCGATTTGGGAGGACGGGAAATGAAATTTTAGGAGATTGCAGATGAATGATCAGTCTTTATATAGTGTAATTTTTAGAAGTTTTCAGCTTCTAATTTTTCGGAAATTCGCGTTTTCAGCTACCTCATCGTCCTGAACAAACTGGCGGGCCGCTCCTTCAACGATCTCATGCAATACCCCGTTTTCCCATTTATTTTGTCCGATTACACCTCAACTCTCCTCGATCTAACCTCACCGTACTCATTCAGGTACGTTGTTACAGTAATTTTGAATTTGAAAAAATTTGAAATTTTAAAAAATTTCTCGATTTTAGAGATTTGGCCAGACCGATGGCCATACAAGACCGAAAAATGGAACAAGTCTACGTGCAGAGCTACAACGCCCTGAACGAAGAGCACAACAAGTCCCAACACGATGGGATGTATTCGGCCTCGTATCTGGGCCCCTATCACTACGGAAGCCATTATTCGAACACCGGAATCGTCGCGCATTACATGGTCCGTGTGGTGCCCTACACGAATGTGGCCTTGGAATATCAGGGTAGGCGGTTTGGAAAGTCCAAAATACGCCAGATTTTGAAAAAAAAAATTTTTTATTTTGGACTTTGATGTCATGGATAATATAAAAATTTTTGAAATTTTGCCGGAAAATGGGTGGAATGGAACTGGGACGATTGGAGAAACCGAAAAGTGTTATTTTTCTTCGATGCAAGTGCCGAAATTAGGATAATCGAGGGTGCTGATTTCGAAAATGACATTCATTTTTTTTTTTTTTTGATCTTTACTTTTTTCCTTAAGCAGTACTGTAAAGTAGTAATTTTTTGATTTTTTTCATGAATACTCGATTTGGCGGTTTTCGATGGTGCTTTCAAATCAGAAAAAATGAATAAGATTTTCGAAATCAGCACCATCGAAAACCCCTAAATCGAGTATTCATGAAAAAAAATTCAAAAAACTAAAATTACTACGTTACAGTACTACTTAAGGAAAAAAGTAAAGATCAAAAAAATAAAGAATGTCATTTTCGAAATCAGCACCCTCGATTATCCTAATTTCGACACTTGCATCGAAGAAAAACAATACTTTTCGATTTCCCCAATCGTCCCAGTTCCATTCCACCCATTTTCCGGCAAAATTTCAAAAATTTTTATATTATCCATGACGTCAAGGTCCAAAATCTGGCGTAAAACCCCACTCAACATACTTTTTGTTTCCCCCAATCGTCCAATTCCGGGGTGGAATAGAAAGAATTCTTCAAAAAGGAGGCATTTTGAAGTTATTGGAAGACTTTTTTGTGATTCTTGATTTTTTGAGCGAAAATTTTGGATTTTTTTTTTGTTTTTTTTTTTTTATTTTTCAAAATTTTTCCAGACAACAATTTTGACATCCCGGACCGCCTCTTCAACACATTGGAGACCACCTGGCGCCTCTCCAGCTCCGAATCCACCACCGATTTCAAGGAACTGATCCCGGAGTTTTTCTTTTTCCCGGAAATGTTCCAAAATCGCGAAAATCTGGAGCTCGGCATCCGCCAATCCGGCCAACAGGTGGACCACGTGATCCTCCCACCATGGTGTCCACGCGGCAACAGCCGACTCTTCTGCCTGATCCATCGGCAGGCCCTGGAATCACTTCATGTTACACTAGCCCTCCACAATTGGATCGATCTGATTTTCGGCTATAAACAGAGTGGCGAAGCCGCGATAAAAGCGATCAACATGTTTCATCCGGCGGTGAGTTGATTGGGAGGGATTTTTGAAATGATTTTTTGGAGAAAAATTAGACATTTTGATACTTTTTGGAAGAAATGCCGGATTTTTTGGATTTTTATCGATTTTTTTGAAATTTTAAGAAATTCGTGGGTTGTAAAGGGTGGGAAAAAGATGTATGTGGTGTGAGGAGGCAGTAGGCAGCTTTTGGAAGTATTTGATTTTGAAAAAATGGGATTTTTAAAAAAATTTTGGACTTTTTTTGAAATTTTTTGCTTTTTTTTGGGAAATTTTGAAATTTTTCCCCCTAAAATGCGGTAGATATAATTTTTTTTGTTCAAAAAATTATTTTGAGAATGTAAAATACGATTTTACAAAGGATTGAGTCCTTATTTTCCAGACCTACCGAGGCCGCGACATCGAAAGAGAGAGCCACAAAGACGAGGTTTTCCTGTCCGCAGTCAAAACCATGGTCCGAACCTACGGCCAAATGCCCGTCCAGCTCTTCATCTCCCCGCATTTACCTCATCTGGAGACTGGCCGATGCATGCCCACGGCGGGCGTCGAGAATCAGCTCTTACCTTCGGTCAGGGGCATCAGATGGGGCGACTTTGTTGGAAGCCCCGAAACAGACGACAAACTGGCGTTCGCACCGCAGTGTATATTCAAATTGGAAGCGTATGAAAGGTAAAATACGGTAGTTCGACCATTTTTTTCATTCCCTGATTTTTTCGCCGAAAAGTTTGGAAATTAAAAATATTGACTGGGATTTTTTGGTTTCAGGAAAAAATGGATGTAGTATATGAGTGGTTTGTCGTATCTTGCTAAATTTTTTTTATTTTACTCCCTGAGAGCATCTATTTTTTATGACGGAAGGATTTTTGTCGAAACTTTTGATTAAGCTTGATATTTGATCAAATTTCTGACATCAGATGTCATGTATAATATCGAGGTGGTGTGGAAATACAGATGGAGATTTTCATTCACTTTTATATTTGAAATAAAGCCAATTTCTTGTAGAATCGACCACCTCACCACCATCCATCATGACGGCCATTTGATTTGCTACGGAATGCCAGAAGACACCGCGCTGGTCGCCAAGTACAAGTCCGACAAATCCGACGCCCTCAGACGGAATTTTGAACTCTCAATGACCGCCGTGCTGTCATGGAGATTTCCAGACGGTATTTTGAGGATCAAACCGGTCCAAGTCGACGATTCCGTGTGGGTTAACCTCCTGGATCTGCAATCTTTGAAAGTCAGCCAGTTGGTCTACAGCCCCAGCAATGATTTGATGTACATCGGCTTCACGAATGGACTCATCAAAGTCTATACACTTGTTTTGGACACAAACACGGTTAGTTCGAAATTTTGGAAGGTTTTAAAAGTTTTGGATTTTCAAATTTTGGTCCCACCGCGAAAACTTGACTCCAAAAAATCGTTGATTTTCGCGTGGAATTTGGTTTTTAATGTCGGATATTGCAGAAGACCTTCAATTGCACACAGAAAGGCGAGCTCTTCGCACATAAAATGGCAATCTCGTCGCTCAGCATCTCCGAGACCTTCCACATACTTTTATCGACCAGTGAAGACTCAACGCTCACTGTTTGGGACACAAATAGGTATGAAGAAGATTGTTGGAGCTTATTTTATGTTGTGTGATTTTTGGAGCAGCTTGAGTTGAGATTTTTCGCTAGTTTTATCTTATTGGAACTGGGACGATTGGGAAAAAGTAGGGGAAACCGAAAAGTATTATTTCCCTTCGATGCAAGTGTCGAAATTAGGATAATCGAGGATGCTGATTTCGAAAATGACATTCATTTTTTGATCTTTACTTTTTTCCTTAAGCAGTACTGTAAAGTAATAATTTTTCGAATTTTTTTTTCATAAATACTCGATTTGGGGGTTTTCGATGGTGCTGCTTTCAAATTAGAAGAAATGAATAAGATTTTTGAAATCAGCACCATCGAAAACCCCTAAATCGAGTATTTATGAAAAAAATCAAAAAATTACTACTTTACAGTACTACTTAAGGAAAAAAGTAAAGATCGAAAAAAATGAATGTCATTTTCGAAATCAGCACCCTCGATTATCCTAATTTCGACATTTGAATCGAAGGGAAATAATACTTTTCGGTTTCCCAAATCGTCTTTTTCCCCAATCGTCCAACTCCGACCTTATTTTGCGAAAATTTTTTGAAATTTTTTGGTCTAACAAGGAAAGTACTTTTATGGGGGCTCCTACTTTTTGACGGGACATATCTCAAAAAATCAGAAAAAATGTGCTGATCAAGGATATATAAATCTTAGCTGCCCATTTTAGGTTTTTAGGGGTAAAAATGCCCAAAAACTGGCTTAATTTCCCTACAAAAGGCGCGGGCATTCGAAACGATGAAAAGCGCAGTCGGTCTCTTCCTTCGGAAGAGAGCGGTGTGGCCGAGTGGCTAGTCCCGTAGTTTGGGAATCAAGAGGGAGGACGCCGCACGGGTTCGATTTCCCTTTTGGGCTGAATCAACTTTTTTTGAAGTTGAAGGTCGGAAAAATAAAATTTTGGGCCAAGACTGATTTATTACGTCTTAGAAACTCAATAAACATAATTTTAAGCCAAAATAAAAATTGTAAACCTGTGAAAAATTAAGCGAAAAGGGGTTTATATAGGACTTTAAGTCAACTTCCGATTAAGTTTTCACCCCTAAAAACCTAAAATGGGCAGCTAAGATTTATATATCCTTGATCACCACATTTTTCTGATTTTTTGAGATATGTCCGGTCAAAAAGTAGGAGCCCCCATAAAAGTACTTTCCTTGTAAAATCATATTTTTCCCCCTTCCAGACTGGAATACATCCGCACCCTGGACCCCCATCGACGTCCCGCCCCATTGAAAGAGCGCGCCGCCCTCTCCTGCATCTCCCAAATCAACGCCGACATGGCCATCGTGCTGCATTCGCAGTGCGGAAGCCGCGTAAACTTGTACACCGTGAATGGAGACCTGATCGGCTCGCATCAAGACGAAATGATCGTCATGAGCATGACCATGACCAACCTCGACGAGGGCCTCGGAGTGAATTGCTTGGCGCTGGGCCTGCAGACCGGCGTCATCAGACTGCTGGAAATGTGGACCCTGAGTACGATAAGACTCATTTCATGCCAGAATCTGCATGCCCCGGTGGTGAGGTAAGCGGTTTTTTGGAGGGGTTTGAGCAAAAAAAAATTGTAATAGGAGAAATTTTTTTTGGAAATGAATTTTGCATACTGTAAAGGAAAAAAGTTGATCGCACTGTCCGAAAAATTGGGAGGTTAGAAAGTGGAAGGTAGATAGGTTAAAAAGGGTTGGGAATGGGATTAGAAGCTTCTGTGAGAAGAGTTGTGAGCTATGGAATTTGATTTTTTGTCTGGAATTTTTGGATTTTGCGATTTCCCTACGGTGCAAGAGAAAAAAGTTTATTGCACAGTGCGAAAAATTAGGAGGTCTGAAAATTGTTTACGAAGGAGTCAAAGAGAGTTGGGAATGCAATTAGAAACTTCTGTGAGGAGAGCTATGAACAATGGGATTTGGTTTTCTGTCTGAAATTTTTGAATTTTGAGGTTTTCCTGCGGTGCAAGGGAAAAAAGTTGATTGCACTGTGCAAAAGATTAGGAGGTGAGAAAGTGAAAGACAGATTGGATAAAAAAGGTTGGGATGGGATTAGAAGCCTCCGTGGGAAGAGTTGTGAGCTATAGAATTTGATTTTTTGTCTGAAATTTTTTGATTTTGCGATTTCCTTACGGTGCAAGAGAAAAAAGTTTGATTGCACAGTGCGGTCCAAAAAAAATTTTTTTTGCACTGTGCAAAATTTTTTCGGATTTTTTTTTAATGAGTTGCTGTGGTATTGTAAGAGTCATAAACATTATTTTTTAGCCTCCAATTCACCAGCGACAGCCGTCGTTTGTACGCGGCGCTGGCCAATTCCCATGTCCTCTGTTGGCAGGTCCCATCCCTGGCCAAAGCCCGAAATTCCTCCTTCAAAATGTTGAACCCGTTCCTTTGAATCTCCTCTCTCATCGTTGTAAATACATTCTTCTTTGTTTTTCCACGTTTTTCGATTGTTTTTATTTTGTTAATCTTGTTACAGTATCCCATTCCTAGTCAGTTTCCAATTTGGGTATTTTTTCACATTCCATGAGATCCCCCGTGTATTTTGATTATCATATCTACGAGTTTACTAGGGTAAAATACGAATTTTAAATCATGTTTTTTTCATTCATTGTTATATCAGTATTTTTTTTAATTTTTAATATATTTTGCAATAAATTATTGATGATATTTTGGATAATACTATTGTTTTGTGCTTTCTGTCTGATCTGTTTCATATTTCAACGCTTTAGGCTGCCTTACAAGCCATTTGTAGCGCCCGACAAACACATGACCCAAAAGGGAAACAGTTGACCCGAATTTCTTTATCTTTCATTTCTCCTTTTATTCTCGTGAAAAATGAGCAAAGTACCGGTTGCGGAATGCTCCAGGCCTACCTTCGACTCCTTTCTCGACGTCCGTTGATCACGCAGATGGTATCTGCAGGTAAATCCCTTCATTTTTTTCGTTTATATTATCCTAGGTGTGATCGGATGCGCGGGAGATGGAATCGCGCAATTTGTAGTGGAGAAACGGTCGCTAAAACAGTACGATTTGCAGAGAGGCATCAGATTTTTCCTTATGCCCTCGTGTTATGTGGTATGTCACACGTTTTTTTGGGTTTATTTTGCTTTAGGCACCGATTTTAAGCAGATGGTTCCGAGTTTTGGAGAAAATCGGAGGAAAAGGCGCGATATGGAAGAGATTGGCCGTGGATCAGGTAGGCAGAACCTTGCCACAGCTGTACGCCAGATTTTAGCTCTGTTGGTCACCTTGCTTTGGAGCTTCGATCATTTTTGTTTTGGGCTTCATGGAGAGTTTGGATGCCAAAAAAGCCTTTGATCACACAAAAAGTATGTGTGTTGAAGTCTATTTCAAAAGCTTACAGGTAAGAGCGTTTCTTAAAGTTTATTCTGCTTTTAGTTCTGGCCATTCGTACAATTGATCAACCTCAACCTGATCCCCATCAACTTTCGGGTGATCTTCGTTCAGATGGCGGCCCTTATCTGGAATTCCTACTTATCATTCCGCACGCAGAAGCCGGTAGATACGGACTACTTCATGGAATAGGTGTTACCTCACTTATACATTCCTTTCGCTCAAGAAATTCAGGGAATAAAACTGACTTTTACGTGAAAATGTTATCCATCATGCGTAATGTCAAAGTTTTGATTTTTTCAACTTCTTTTAGGATTTTTAATTGAAATGAATGAAACTTTTACAAAGTACTAGACCCGGTCGTTCTTTTAATTTTGTTTATCTCTCGAAATCACGATGAAAATGTTGGGTTTGACATCAAAATATTATCCATCACGACTAATATCAAAAATTTTGATGTTACCCTTTTATTTTAGCACACAGTTGAAGAAAAATAAGTTTAATAGAAAGGGCTAAACTTATTTTCACTTACAAATTCATTTATCAACCATATTGCACCAAAAAAACTAGAGTTTTATATCAAAATATTATCCATCACGGATAATATCGGATTCAAAGTGCGAAATGAGAATTTCACGCATGAAATTTTAATTGTTCTTTGGAACGTGACCGAGGAATCACAAATTGGTTCATTTGCTATCGAATCGCAATCAACTATTGGCCGTTTTGGAGCCGCGAAAATGCTGAGCGCCTATCTTCGATTGATGGCACGTCGTCCGCTGGCCACACAGATTGTTTCGGCTGGTAAGTTGGCTTATTTTTTTTATTGTTTATTTCAATTTTAGGTCTCGGAGATTAATTACTTTCACAAAATTTGATAAAATTTATCATGGACAACACGAAAGACCCGTTTTTGTCATGGATAATATAATTGTTTCTCTAGGTGTGATTGGAGTTGCCGGTGATGCGGTTTGCCAGTTGGCTATCGAACGAAAGCCCCTAAAACAGTACGATTATGGGCGTGGAGCGCGGTTCTTCATCATGCCGGCCTTCTGGATGGCGCCGATTCTGAATCGCTGGTTCCGTGTTTTGGAGATGATCGGAGGAAAAGGCGCCATTTTCAAGCGTCTGGCTGTTGATCAGGTGGGCAAAGAACTATCGTTCTTTCATTTTACAGTTTTTTTTGTCCAAAAAAGCGAAACTCACATAGTTTTTGCAGTCTTGAGACAAATTATTATATTATCCATGATGACTTTTGATATCGAAAAATTTTTGATATTCTTGTTGTGAAAGGTTGACATAATCATAGAACATGTGCTGGAATGCCTTCTAAATAAATTTACCGGCTGTTTTACTATCATTTTTATCCGTTTTTCACCACTTTCCTGGATGAATATTACAGTGAACTGACCAGATACAGTGGCAAAAAACGTACCATTTTGCATCCGGGAAGTATCAAAAATGCAGCAAAATACCTCCCCTCTCCGAATAAAAATCTCCGTTTTGAAAGGAGTGAGAGAGAGAAAGGTATTTTGCTACATTTTTGATACTTCCCGGGTGCAAAATTGTACGTTCTTTGCCACTGGATCAAGTCCGTTACTGTAATATTCATCTAGGAAATTGGTGAAAACCGGATAAAAATGATAATAGAACAGTCTGTAAATTCATTTAGAAGGCATTCCAGACCATGTTCTATGATTATATCAATCTTTCACAACAGGAATATCAAAATCTTTGATATCAAAAGTCATCATGGATAATATAATAATTTGTCTCAAGACTGCAAAAACCCTGGACAATATCGCTAATCCCGTCTTCAGATCCTGTTCTCCCCTTGTTTTGGAGCCTCAATTCTAATGGTTTTGGGTATAATGGAGGGCGCTACTCCGCAACAAGCCTTTGATTCGATGAAAAAAATCATCTGGGACATTTACGTGACCTCCCTTCAATTTTGGCCAGCCGTCCAGCTGATCAACCTCAACTTTGTCCCCCTCAATTATCGTGTGGTCTTTGTGCAGCTCGCGTCTCTGATCTGGAACAGCTACATCTCCTACAAGACCCAGAACAAGACTTTGCAATAAATTATTTCTCAATAGAATTTTTTTTATAAATACCATGCATATGTACAAACATTCGCACAAAATAATTGAAAACATACGAAAACACACTACTAGCGCTCTACTCGCAAGATTTGTATTCAATCTTCTCGATGGAATGCAACAGCGAGCTGTTATTGTAATCGAGCAGGTGTTGATGGAGTTTGGGCGCAGCGAAAAGGATAGAAGGCACGAATTGGAGGAGATCGTAGGAGTCGGGAAGCCCAACCGCCACCTGGTTGATGTAATTTGAGAGTTCGGGCGAGATGTGCTTCTAAAACTCGAAAGCAATTTCCAAAAAATCTCAAAATTCCAATTTTTCAGAGGGTTTTTTCAAATTAAAAAGTGCCAAAGATATTTAAAATACGGTGTAAATCTTCGTGTGACTGTTCTATTTATCATTTTCAGTCATTTTCTGCCAAAAATTCAACCTTCCCTGAAATTCAGGGTTTTCGTGGCGGGACTCAAAACCCAAGAAATTTATTGAAAAAATGGGTAAAATACGTCGTCTACGATTATTTCTTCATTTATACAACATTTCTCCACAATTTAACTACCTTTTTTTTTAACTTTCAGCTTTTCGTGGCGATACCCAAAAAAATTCAAAATTTCACAAATCTTCCAAAAAAGGAAAATTTCTAATTAACACTAATTGTACTCCCCAACATCAGTCTTTTCACGCATTTCTTTCCAACCCTGCCCATTTTTCCACCTTGATTCACCTTATTTTAGACTTACCCGATGTAAAAAGTGGACTCCTTTCTTGTCAAATGCGACTTTCTCGAAGAATTCGGCCAAGAAAAATATCACCGAGGCCGCGAACCGTGTGAGGATCATTTGTTCACCGTATGTTAGGTAGATGTGGACCCGGTCGATGAGATGGGGATGTTCATCGTCGATCAGTTGGACGAGATGGTTTCGGCGGGGATAATGACAGCCGGCCGGGGATCCATAGGCCTGAAATAGGCTCAGCGCCATTTTCAGTGTCCAAAAAACACATTTTCACAATAATTTTCACAAAATTTAGACATTTCCTGACATTCAGGGTTTTCGTGGTGGGACCCAAAAGTCCAAAAATAAATCCCCAAATCCATCAAAAATATTGCCACAACAACCTCAGCGGCCTATTACCTTCAGTTGACTCAATTTCCGGACGTTTCTAACAACTTTCGACCCAAACCTCGGGCGCGAGCTGCCATTTCAAAAATCGCTCAAAACTCAATTTTCCTCAATTACACTTCGCTCAAAATTATCGTATACGACTTACCACCACCGTACACAACTCCAGCCACGCATTTTTGCACATAAACGGGCTGTCCACATATACACCATCGCATTCTTGGACCAGCTCATGTCGAAGCCTACGGAATGCCTGCGGATTCTCGCAACATAGGTCGAAGTAGGGCTGAAAATGTCGCATAGACATTGTGTCGAAAATTTCAAACCACCTAAGAGTAAAATTTCTTACCAAATTTATCTCCCTGGCATACTGTAGCAGTTTGCAGTCCGCGAACATTGTCGCCTGGAGGGCCGGTGATCTGTCGGGGAAAACGGTGCGGGCACAGTGATGGGAAGCGGTGACAAATGGATGTCGAGAAAGACAGTCGATCCGGGGGACGGCTTGATAGAGCTTCTCCAGCGTGGGGAAGGGATCCGACTCCAGGGTTACGGTAACCGGGAAATTTTTTGTTGTTGAGATCTGAAAAGCCGAAAAACTCCATTATTCATGCTTTACAATCTTCAAAATGTGGTATTTTGACTTTTTTCCAGCGATTTTTTGAGTTTCCCTGATATTCAATGTTTTCGTGTTGGGACCCAAAAATTTGAATTTACTTATAAATCAGCAAAAAAATCTTATTTTCAGCCTTTCCCAAGTCTATTAACGTCATTTCTACGGGTTTTCCGCCAAATATCGCCATTTTCCATCAAAACCTCGGGCGCGAGCTGCCGTTTCCAAAACTTGTTCAAAATCCAAATTTCCAATTTTAAAACCGTCAGAAGCGTTTCGTAAGCCCTTACCTTGTACAAATAGTCTTCCGTTGCATGGTCTTTGGTGTGAACTCCAGCCCACGCCGACCTGAGCCACGGGTTCAGCTCCAGCTTAGGGTAAAGTTCGGTGCGGGAGCGGCGTTCCTCGGCTTTGGCCAAAAACCCGAAATGCTTGTTCATTTCCTCCAGGACCAAGTTCGTTTTCTTGATCACCAACGCTATCTGGAATCGAAAAAATTACGGGGAAAAAATGGAAATTTTAAAAAATTTGTCAAAATTCTCAAAATTTTTCGTTATAAAACCTCTTTGCTAAAGAAATCAAACCAAACCAATGCGTATTTTAAAACAACATGAAATTCTGCACCTACCCTTTCTCGGGGGTTCAATTTGGCGTAGGATTTCAGGTTGAACTGGATCATTTCCCGTTGGTGGGCGGAGAAGAAATTGGCCGCGCTTTTGAGGGCCTGAAACCACAAAACGTTATCGAATTATGCAGTAAAATCAAATCCGCATTACTTTTTACGCTCTATACTGTATAAAAAGCCAAAATTTTCAAGATCTTACCGGGATTACATGGGCTGCGGCATCAATATTGTTGTTGACCAAGTTGTCATCAAACCCGATGCAAATCAGATATATCTGAAAAACAAACAGTCATTGTCATCTAGAATCGTCTAATATACGTTTAGAATCTCCGTAACTTCCAATTTCCCCGTTACAGTAACCAGAAATTCGAAATTTTAAATTCTACCGTAATCCTACCGTAACCCAAAAAGATAAAATAGAATTCAAAAATAGCCTTGGCAGCCCAAAAACTCTCTAGGATGAACTTTTTTAGTATTAAAAAACATTACAGTAATCAAAAATCGCAACTTTTCAATCCCACCGTAACCCAAAAAATTTCGCTCAAACATCCCAAAACTCGTACCTCGGAATTCCCAGGCTTGCTGCAGGCCGGTTTCTGGAACACAACTCGCTGAAAACAGCTGCTGATTTGCGTGAGGAGGCTTTGCATTTCGTCTGAGAAGAAGGTGTAGATCTTCATGACAAAACAGCCGTTCCGCTGTATGCACTTGCTCGCCGCCCGCCAGCACTGGTTGAACAGAGTGTATGTGATGCGTTCTTGCTCTCCGGGGACATCCTAAAACATCATGCACAATGAAGCCTTACTGTAATTCAAAATTTCGAATTTTGGTTTGAGGCTTGGTCCTGCCACGAAAACGTTGAAAAAATTTCAAAAAAGTAAAAAAATACAATCCAAATGTTTATTTGGTCATCTTTCCGTACTAATTTCGCAGTTTTACGCCTCAAAATCTGAGTCCCGACGGGAAATTCTGATTTGTTGGCATTCTGTTTCAAGCCTTAAAAACTTGCTAAAATCTCTCTGGAGCCCTATAGAGCTTTACTGCACAATTTTTTCGCCATTTTTATGGCCTTTTACGGTCTTGCAACACAATGCCAAAAAATAAAATTTTGGCGGGAAACCAAGAATTCAAATTTTTCTTCCGCCAAACGTCCTCAAACCTATTTTCCACTCCTTACATGACAATCAAAGCTCCCGTCGCACGTCACCAAGTGGAATTTCCCCGTTTCTCCGACCATGTTTCCCACGTAATCCTCGGTGAACATGGTCACATTGCCGGTGTTGTCGGTGCCGAACACCATGTTTTGCATGTTTCGGATCATGAACGTGTCGTCGAACAGGATTTGGCGGAGATCGGTGGATTCGTGGTAGGGGTTGAGGCTGTTCATTCGCCAGATCCACTTGTTGAATTCTTGCTCTGGGAGGTAGTCGCCCAGAGCGCGTACGAAATTCCCCGGCGCTTCGCAGAGATGGAGGCTTCTGGAAGGCGGAAAATGCAATTAGACCCATCAAAAGGAGCGATGAACACATTTTTAAGCAAAATTTTTAATTTTTGGGTCTCACCACGAAAACGTGAATTTTCAAATAAGCCGAAAATTTGACAAAAGAATATATCTGGTAACTTCAAAAACAGGCAAAAATCATCGTATTTTAAAGTTTTCTGACGTGATAATTCAAATTTTTGGGTCTCACCACGAAAACCTGAATTCTCAAACAAAGCCTAAATTTGACAAAAAACTATATCTTGTAAATTTAAAAACAGGCAAAAATCACAGTATGGCGTATTTTAAACTTTTCTGACTTGAAATTTCAAATTTTCGGGTCTCACCACGAAAACCTGAATTTTCAATAAAAGTCTGAATTCGATAAAAACTATATCTGTCAACACCAAAAACAAGAATAAAGAATAAAACAGCGTATTTTAAGCTCCTCTGACATTACAATTAAAACTTTTGGGTCTCACCACGAAAACCTGATTTTTCAAAAAGTTCCAAATTTAATATAAATTAGATCAATAGCTCAATAATATCTCAAATGGTAACACCCATCGTGTTTCAAACCATTACCGCACATAAAAATTCCGTTTTTTGGTCCCACCACGAAAACCCTGAAATTCAGGGAGCTTCTTTCTATTGACGGGAAATAATTCAAAATAACAAAATAAAGACAAAACACCTCTCTAATAAACATTTCCACCGCCCAAACTCACCTAAATTCCTCATCGCTGGTCTCCAAATGACCTCTGGTCAGCTCCGGATTCTCCTCCAAGATCTGAATAAATTTACAGTACGCCTGGGTCAGAGAGTGTTTCAGTTGGGGGTATTCGTCGCCGAGCTTGGCTGGGAGGCCCTTCATCGGGTGTGTGAAGGTGGTGTGGCCGCGCCATAGGCCGGGCGTGTACTGGGCGCATTTTTGGCCGACCTTTTCCTGAAAAATTCGAATTTTTAGGGGAAAATCTAATTGGAAACTTGGATAAAAATACTCAAAATTATCCCACACACCTTGCAGAATATTTTTCAGCCAAAAAATTTAGATTTTATTATCAATTTTTTTGAAAATTCAAAAAAATCTGAAAAATTCGAAAATTTTCAAAAAACCTCAAAAAATTCGCATTTTTCTTTCTAAAAATCTAAAAATTATGGCTCGATTTTTTTTCTCATAGTCTGAAAAGCCATGATCTTTCTTTATACCAACATATTGCGCCATTTTAACCTTAAATTTTCAAAAAAATCGCGAAAAAATCAAAAAATCCACCAAAATTGCAGAATTTCCCAAAATTTCCACCAAAAATTCAAACCCATTCCGTTTAAATTTCGCTGAACCTCTTTATTTGCTCACCTGAACATTTCTCAATCGGAAATACTCTCCTTCATCGTCCGTATCATACTGATGTAGGTCCACGTGCCGCAAAACATAGTCTCGATTCTTCAGGACGTAGTATTTCTTGGTCAGGTTTTCGCAGAGAGCATCGTATTGGGATTGCAAATCCCGCGCGGACATTTACCTGGAATTCGCGTTGTTGTCAAAATTTCAATTCAAAATTTTTTAAATTTTCGAAAAAACTTTTGAAATTTATGCAAATTTTAGATTCAACAAATTAAAAGATATAGTCGAAGCTTCGTATTTTACCATAAAATTTACCAAATTTTGCTTTAATTTCACCTTTTTTACCAAAAAAATCAAAATTTAGCCTACAAATCCAAAAATCCCTTAAAACCCCTAAGGCAATGTCCCTCAAACCATCTCAAAAGCTGTTTAAAATACGTCACACAGGATTTCCTGCAATATACACTAACTTTTCACCACAAAAACCACTCATTTCAACGCAAAAAAACAAAAAATTCTATAAAAACAGCTCAAAAATAAAATTTTCCGAAAATTTCCACCAAAAAATCGCAAAAATCCCCTCTCAAAATCCTCGAAACCCACTATGAAGAAATGTATTTCCGGAAAATTACCGGTATATCCATCAAGTGCGCCTTTCGATAACAACATTTTACTTTTTCAACAACAAAAATTCAATAAAATTATTTTAAAAAATCCCATTTTCATAGTTGAATTTTCGACAATCATCGGTGTTCCAGGTCAAGCGAATGGGCTGAAAATCTTGGTGTTCTCTTTGATTTCCACAGCTTCCCAATCGGCGTGGCCATTCTGAGGGCCAAACGAAATCTGGTTGATGAAGGATAGGGTGGAAATAACGGCTTCGAATGGCTTCAATTCCGCGTCGGTCGACTCCACATGCACTGAAAACAAAAGTACAGTCCATTTACTCTTTAATAAGGCCAAAATGTCCCAGCAATTTGCCCAATAAAACTTAGAATTTTCATAAATAAAAAATTTCCCCAAAAATAGATGGTCTTGGCCGATAAAATCGTCCGCTGTGGCCATAATTCTCCAAAAACTGTCCCATTTTCCCCCGTATTAAATTCCCTAAATCTTCTACATTCTCTAGACCCTAAAATCAACCTAAAATTCGCCCATTCTTACCATCAATTTTGGTCTTGTTTGGAATTTTCCTCTCAGTTCGGATGGATCGGATTTTCTTCACAATTTCCATGGCCAAATCCATTTCCTTCTCCAATTTCTCGGCTCTCAGATGCTTGTAGTGCTCGGGGTGTGGGTATTCGGCGACGGCAACACTTGGCCATGTCACAGAGGCTCGTTTCGGGAGTCGTTGCCACAATTCTTCGGTAATGAAGGGCATGAATGGAGAGATCAGGCGGAGGAAGACGTCCACGCAGGTGTAGAGGATGGCACGGATCGTCTCGGTGATCTTGGGGTCTTCTGCAAAGAATTTCATCAATTTCAATGCCATTTTCCAGTGGATAATTCAAAATTAAAATTTCCCGCCACTATTTGGCATTGTGTTTCAAGGCTCAAAAAAATTCAATTCCCCTTCTATTATCATCAAAACATCCCTTAATCTCCATCTTATCCACATTTCAACCCAAAAAATTCAAATTCAAAATTTCCCGCCAAATTTTGGCATTCTGCAACACCCCCTGAAATTGACTAAAATTCGACTCAATCATATCCTGAGACCTTCCTAAACTCATTTTCTCCTCTTTTTCTTCACAATACCACCCATAGACCACATTTTTTTCAATTCAAACCTTCTCCTTGCACCTACTTTTGGCCATGTCCGGTTTGATGGCTTCCAAGTAGACATCGCAAAACTCGTAGAGCCAAAAGTTGTACAGGGCTGTGGTTACGTCCTGGAAGTTGTAATTTTTGAATCCGTTTTCGGATCGCTCCACAGCCGACGCCAGTCTGGACATTATCCATAGATCGGCTGTCGATTCATGGCCGGTCACTTTGAAGGCTTCTGATGGCTTATATTCCTCTCCCAGCTGCATGAACACGAAGCGGGTGCCTTGCCAGATCTTGTTGCAGAAGCAGCGGTATCCGTGCACTCGCAGCACGTCCAGGTTTATATCCCTTCCGGCGTTGTTCGAGGCCATCAACGCGAAGCGGAGCGCGTCCGTTCCGCATTCCGGGATCCCGTTGGGGTAGTCCTTGGCTTGTCCCGCTTTCGCTTTTTCCACTTCTTTTGGGTCTAGGTTGCTGTTTTCGAGTTGTTTTTGGAGCTCGTCCAGGGTGATGCCATGGATCACGTACAGGGGGTCGATCACGTTCCCCAAACTCTTGCTCATCTTGCGGCCGTGCGCGTCGCGGACCATGGCGTGAAGTAGGACCTAAAAAAAGAAAACTTTATTAAAAAAATATCAAAAATCAAATCAAAAAAAAATTTTAAAATTTTAACCCAAAAATGAAAAAAAATTACCCAAAAAATCTCAAAAAATAAAAAAAATACCCAAAAAATAAAAACAAATACCCAAAAAATCTCAAAAAATAAAAAAAATACCCAAAAAATCGCAAAAAATACAAAAAAAAATTACCCAAAAAATAAAAAAAAAAATTACCCAAAAAATTTTTAAAAAATTTATTCAAAAAAAAATTCTCAAAATCCCTCACCTCACTAAACGGAAGTTGTCCAGTCAATTCCTGTGCCATGAACACCATCTTCGCGACCCAGAAGAAGAGAATATCGTGGCCAGTTTCGAGCACATTCCCGGGGAAGAACCTCTTCAAATCCTGCGTCTGTTCGGGCCATCCAAACAAAGCGAATGGCCACATGCCCGAGCTGAACCAGGTGTCCAGGACGTCCTCATCTCGGCGGAGGGAGATCTTGTCTTTGGAGACCTGGAAAATTATGAAAAAATAAATAAATTTCGATCGAAAAATCTCGATGGAGCTCTCAAAACCGCAAATTAAAAATTTCACATTTTGTCTTCGGACATTCCACTGCAAATCTCTCGCCAACTTTTATTAAAATCAGCTAAAAAAAGCTTTCCAATTTGTTGTGCAGAGTGCAAAAAAATAAAAAAAAGAGCAACGTAAGGAGTTTTATGAGGAAAGAATCAGTTTGAAAGTAATTTAGAGGGAGTTTTAGTGGAAAAGTGAAATTTGAAAATTTTGATTTTTTTGAAAAAAATTGTCAAAAATGATGGATTTTTTGTTTTTGGAGCTCCACAATTATTAGTCTGATTTCTTATAAATAATTCTGGAGTTCCAAAAACAGAAAATCCATCATTTTTGACAATTTTTTTAAATCTCAAAAAAAAAATCAAAATTTTCAAATTTCACTTTTCAACTAAAAACTTCCTCCAAATCACTTCCAAACTGATTCTTTCCTCCCAAAACTCCTTACATTGCTCTTTTTTTATTTTTTGCACTCTGCACAAAAAAATGAAAAACTTTTTTTAGCTGATTTTAATAAAAATTGGCGTGAGATTTACAGTGTAATGACCGAAGAAAAATGTGAAATTTTTAATTTGCGGTTTTTAGAGCCCCATCGAGAATTTTTGATCGAAATTTATTTATTTTTTCAAATTTTTTTCATTGAAATCAAATCCACATCAATCCACCCTGTCGAAGAAAAAATTTCCCGCCCCTTTTTGGTGATTCGGTCAAAACGAAATGCCACTGTCCGATAAAAAGCATTTCTTATCTTTCTTCTTTCTTTTCGAGAAAAAACAATTGTTTCGGGCGAGAAAAAGTGCCGATAATTTCGGGACATTTCGTCTCTCTTTTAAACAATGAAAACGATACGAAGTTTCGAAACGGTTCATGAAACTGGATTGAGGTGAAATCTCTGTGAAATTTCTCGTCAATCCAGCGTATTTCCTGAACCGTTTCGAAACTTCGTATCGTTTTCATTGATTTAAATGAGAGACGAAATGTCGCGAAATTATCGGCACTTTTTCTCGTCCGAAACAATTGTTTTTTCTCGAAAAGAAAGAAGAAAGATAGGAAAGTGCGTTTTATCATTTCGTTTTGAACGAATCACCAAAAAGGGGCGGGAAATTTTTTCTTCTATTTTGGATTGACGTGAAATCTCCTTTCAACTCTTTCTTTCCCAAACTATCCTATCTTCCTCAACCCCCAACTCCGCACCTTAAACTTCTGCGAGGCCTTTTCCTTGGCTTCTTCTTCGGTATTCGCGCAGACCCAAAAGTTGCCATCCGTGTCCTCTCCCTGTTCCGCTCCTTTTTCATTGATTTTCACAAAGTATGCGGGGATTTGGAAGCCCCACCAGAGCTGGCGGGAGATGCACCAATCCCGGGAATCCTCCAGCCACCTATACCAAGTGGCGTCATGATAGGAGGGGATCAGTTTCAGGTCGCCTTTTTTCACCGCATCCACCGCCTTTTTGCCCATTTCCGCGCATTTTATGTACCATTGGGCCTTCACGACCGGCTCGATGATGTCCTTGGAGCGGCTGCACACCGGGACCACCATGGGGTTGTCGACGGAGCCCCGGAGAAGTCCCAGCGACTCCAGCTCCGCCGTCACTTGTTTGCGGGCCGTGAAGCGGGGCAGTCCCGAGAATTTCCCGCAATTCTCGAGCAGTTTCCCCTCGTCCGAGAGGATGTTGATCATGGCCAAATTGTGCCGCACTCCCACCTCGTAATCATTGGGGTCGTGGGCGGGCGTGATCTTCACGGCGCCCGTTCCAAAGTCCCTCTCCACAAAGTCATCGGCGACGATCAGCAGTTTTCGGTCGAGGAATGGATGTTTCGCGAACTGAAATTGAACTTGATGTCTAAAGTAATATAAAATTATGACCGAATCCAATTTCTAATGACCGAAAATACTCTTTTCAGCAATGAAAAGGAAATCCATCTCCTTTTTTGGCCAAAAAAAACAAATCTTGACCAAAAAAAAATTTTTTTTGATGTCTAAAGTAATATAAAATTTTTATTCAATCATATTTAAAACCATGTAGAATCATCTTACACATCCTAAAAACCCGATATAAAACCTTTTCTCATACAAAAAACAATAAAATAAAAAATAAAAAATTTTTCTAAACTAATATAAAGTCATCTCTGCTCAAAAACCACCTCAAATCCAGTTTATACAGAACGATAATACCTTTTCAAACAATTTACATTCAAAACTAAACCTATAACCAACAAAAAATTTCCAAATAATCGAAAAAAAATTTTGCCGTTATATCAATTTTTCCTCAATAATCTCCACAAACCCTCTTTAGTCTCTCCAAAACTCTTTTTTATTCCCAAAACCCCTCTAATCTCCTCACCTTGCCCACAAACTTCTTGTATCTCTCATCTTGGGGATGGACAGCAATAGCAACATCGCCGAGCATGGTCTCGATACGAGTGGTTGCGACCACAATCTCCTCCTCACTGTCCGCCAGCTTGTAGGCGAATGAGGTCAGGACGCCGAATTCGACGGGTTCGTCGTATCCGGGGACCGGCAGCAGGGTTCTGCCGCTCAGCTCCTTCTTGTCCACTTCAATGTCCGAGATGGCCGAGCGCAGGGCGCAGCACCAATTCACCAGGCGGGTGGAGCGGTAGATGACGCCCTTCTCGAACATCCGAATGAAGGCTTCGTTCACGGCGCGCACGTATTTCGGGTCCATCATGAAGACGGCGCGGTCCCAGTCCACCGAGGCGCCCATTCGACGGAACTGGTCGTAGATGGCGATCCCCTTGCTAAAATTGGAAAATTTAATTTTTAAAAAACATTATGACAGTCTCTCACATCTATTAGAGACCTTTTTTTATAACTTTAGACCATTAAATTTACCAAAATTTCAAAAAAAATCCATCTTTTCCCGAAAAAGTCCAAAAAAATCAAAATTTCAAATTGAAAACCCATTTTCATCGCACTCAAAAATGTCTCAAAACCACCTCAGCATCAACAGTTATCTATTCCATACTCAAATTCATCTTAATTCCCTCCAAAATTCCAAGTTCTTACACTTTTTTCCACTTCCACACCTCTTCGATGAACTTTTCTCGGCCCAGATCGTAGCGAGTGATTCCTTGCTCTCGGGCCAGCTTCTTCTCCACCACAACTTGAGTCGCAATACCAGCATGATCACATCCCGGATTGTACAAGACAGTCTTGCCGTGCATTCGATGCCTGAATTATATTACTTTAGACATCAGATATCTACTTCGAAATTTGCAATATTCCAATGATCTAAAAACAGAAAAACAAAAATAAAGAGATAACCTACCATCTACACAGAGTGTCTTCCATCGAAGTGGCCAGAGCGTGGCCCAAATGGAGAGTTCCAGTCACATTTGGAGGTGGGATTACCAATGTAAAGGATCCCTTTGGATTCGGTTTACTGTAAAAAAATTGGAATTATTATTGACTAAATATCACAAATAGCTCATAACTGACTAATAAACATCAAAAAAACAAAATATACCTCGGATCTTCTTGTCCATACTCAGGTCGAAAGAATCCTTCCTTTTCCCACCATTCATACCATGCTGTCTCCACATACTTAGGACTATAAGCATTCGGAAATTCACTCTTGATATCTAAAAAAACATCCCGTCAACAGAAATTCAAGAAATCGAACAAAAAATTATATTATACTAGTTGAGCCGTGAATCGATTTTCTCTCGAAAAAGCGTGGAAAAGCTCTTAAATCAACAAATAAATCATAAGAAACAAAAAAATGCGAAAAAAATCGAGAGCAATAAACTCAACTTCTCAATAAGGTCAAGTGTAATATAATTGAGAGAAAAAGCAAATTTCGTGGAGAAAATTGGAAAACAAACTTCTCATTTAATTTTCTGGGACTTATCGCAAGTATTAAAGTGCATTTCAAGTCCATGCAGAACAAAACAAAATATTATATTACGCAAGATCAAGTGCAATATAAGTCCAGCTCCCTCGTAAAAATTTTTTCGCAAAATACCTCCATATCCAAAAATAAATATACACACATCCCAAATCAGCTCTCACAACCTAAAAGTTGAACAAAAATAGACAAAAATCCCACCTTTCTTCTCGCCGAGCTTGGTATTTCCAGTGTATTCGATAACATCCTTCTTCAGCTCCTTTTTCGGCGCCTTATCCTTGACCTTGGCCTTCTCTTCCTGCTGCTTCTTCTGCTTGGCCTCGAATTTGGCCAACTTTGCCGCTTTTTCGGCCTCCTTCTTCAGCTGCGCCGGAGTTTTGGGCTTCTTCTCCTGTTCTTCGCCCATTTTAGACGTCGGAAACCCTGAAAATCGGAATTTTAAATAAACGAGAAGATGAACGATAAAATTTTGCATCCAAAAAATGTAAAACATCACTCATTGCGACCGTTTACAAGGACAAATGATGCAATTTATTCGCCTTATGGGAATGAAAATCCTTTTTCTTTCGTCGAGCTGCGCCCGAGGATGGAGTTTGGTCGGCTGCAGGCTGCGAGGACATTTTATACGAAAGATGGGAAATTTGTAAAATACGGCACAAGGTTGGATGTAATAAATAATTTAACCCGAATTGAGGGTTATTACAATAAAAAATGTTCGAAAAATTTACCTTTTGAGAGTTTTTGCTCAAATTTCCACCATATCTTACCATTCAGATATCAATTTTCAAACTAATCATCCCAAACCTGTGTTTAATAAATTCTTTATCCGTTTTTTGAGTTTTGTAAGAACAGAAACTGATGAGAGGTGGGAGAAAAAAGGAAAAACAATCTCTGCAGAAAAACAAACATTTCTTACGACAATGGACAATACTTACAATAGGACGAAAGGGTTACTTATGATTATGGCATTGGGTTAGATGGGTTCTTGGCCAACTCTTTTGGTCATAAACGACTAATCTTTTTTGGTTTCATGCGAAAGGAAGCGAGTTTTTCGTCTCGAAAGAGATTACTTTCTAAGCCCCACTAGGTAGTAATTTACAACCAAAACTTGCGAAAAACTAATTCAAAAGACAAATTACAGTAGGCTAAGAGGATTAAAAATGAATAGAAAAGAGGAAAGTCAAAAAAGTAAGAGAAAAATTGAAAAAAAAACTAATGAGATAATATAATAGGAATGATGGAAGTGACTCGTTAGCTGGTCCGCCGCCGCCCTCACGCGTAGAACTCCTTGGTGGGGGCTTTCTGATAGGCGTACGAGTATTGCGGGGGTTGGTGGGGTTCGTCCAGCGAGTAGGAGCCTTCGTCTTTCTTCCGCATCCGGTACACGATGAACATGACCAACAAGATGGCCAACAGGATGCCGACAACCACTCCGCCGCTGATCGCTGCAAAATAACGGATAATTTAGTGTATTTTAAACAATCCTCGGATGAAAATTTAAAGTGGAAATTCAAAAATTTTAATGTCATGGATAATATGTTGATATCTCAACTTCAAAACAGAGCTGAATAACGGTCCTTATCTCAAAAGAAAACTAATTTCATGCTAATAACTCTGGCATAATCCGTTTCTTGAAATTCGGCAAAAAATTCAATGATTTGGACCTTACACTTGTCATGGATAACATGTCTAATATCTCAAAAACAAAACCGATATAAGAAACGGCTAATATCCAAAAAGAAAGCCCATTTCCCGCTGATTTCAAATATCCAAACGCCTTTTTCGAATACCGCAAAAATCAGCAAGATTTCTCTATTTTTCTCTAGTGTAATATCAATCTGACCCTAAAATTTCAAAAAACCTCAAAAACTGGGACTTACCAGCCAAAATGCCCGGTTGAAGCATATCGAATCTGAAGCCGAATGGGAACTCTTCCTTTTCAGTGGGAGTTTGTTGCACATACGGCCTCTTGGTTGTGGTGGTGGTCGGTTTTTGTGTTGTTGTGCTGGTGCTCGTGGTCACATAGATTGGAGTCTGGGTTGGGATCGGGACCGGCACCACAGGGCTTGGCCCATTATCTGGAGCGTCTTTGCCGACCGTCTCCTCATCATATTCGTCGTCATCGTCCTCGTCTTCCTCATCATCTTCGTCTTCTTCTTCATCCATGTCGTCCGGATGAATCTCGACTTTGGGCTGTCGAGTTGTTGTTGTGGACGAAGATTGGGGTTTCTGGGACGAAGGGACAGTCTGTTGGATCGGCTGGACTGGTGGTTTGCCGGAGCCTTCGACTGCGTCGCCGTCTTCGTCGTCCGGATTATGAGAGCCCGACCCTTGGACTTGTTCATCATCCAATCGGCCATTTGCCGGTCGGCCGCTGCCTTCTACCGCCTGAAAATTAATATTTTACATCAAAAATCGTGTCTAGCCCAATTTTGACTCATTTCCGGTGCAAAAATCTCGAAATTTGCAAATTCAGGTTTTCGTGGTGGGACTCAAACTGAATCTCTAAATACTTTTCAAAACGCCCCCAAATTTTCTACAAATCAAATATAGCGAATAAAAACACCACTCACATCATTCGCCGTCTTCTTGACCGCCGTCTCCGGTTTTGGGAGGGCCTGTTGTGAAAGCGCCTAAAACAATATAAAATTTCGAACCAATCCCGACTTACTATGAGGATAACTAGCGTGGCCCACGTTAGTGGGTGCATGGCGTTCGTTTTGGACTATTTTCTTAGTTCTTCGTCCTTAACGTCATACCCGAGACCTGAAAAACGAAGGTAATTTTGGCGGAGGGGTTTTAAAGTGGTCAGCGCGCCCAATCACATCGCGTGACGGTGGGAAATGTAACAGGAAAGAGTCCGAGAAAGCCGGAAGGTCAAGTTGTAAAACGAGCCACGGGTTTTAATGGCGCTGGAGGGGGAAAAAGTTGAAAATAATGGAATAATAAGGAGAAAGTGGGAATGCGACGTGATGGAGGGGGTAAAGTGAGGTAATTTTGATGTGTAAATAACTTCTGAGGCATACAGAATAAGATGTATTATCTTGTGGCAGCTTTTTTATCCAAAAATTTGGGCGAATTCCCAATTTTATCCACTTTGATACCTAAAATAAGGTAAATTTGATATTTCTATGGCAAAGTATCCGTATTTTAGGGAAAGATCAAGGTAGACAGACGCTCAGAGGGATGGAAAGGTATTCTAGACAAATTTTGATTCATTTACCGCGAGGAATTTACGGGAATTTTCGATTTTTATCAGTTACATACCTAAAATAATATAATTTTTCGACTTTTCACCCAAAATCAAGGTGAATTCTTTGTAAAATACGGTTATCTTTCTGTCTAAAGCTATAATACATTATTTTCGATCAAAACAATAGGGATTTCCCCTCCAAAAAAGCCGCTGTATTAGCCATAAGCTCCAAAAACCGTTAAAAATCCCGAAAGTTGGAGCCAGCGCCGGTTGAAAGCTCTTGTCCCGTTTCGAAAACCCCTCCACTCAACCCGAGCGCTAAACCAACCCCACGGAACCCGCATTCCGCTCCCAGAATTCCATTCCATGTGCAAAATTAGGGGGGTGAGCAAGAGTTTTGTGGTGGGGAAGCGAAGCGACCCGCTGCGACGCGCCAATAATGGCGCTCAGCGGCACAAATCACTCGCAATTTATATATATTTCCGAGCCCCACTCCCCAACCCGTCGCTTGATTGACCTTTTGCCGTATACAAGTCGGCTGAAACGTTGGGGAATGCAGAAATTTTGAAGGGACTTGCACTCGTCATGGAAAATATAGTGATATCTCGGGGAAAAAGAAGCGTTGAAACATGAGTGATACCTCAAATGAAAGGCTATTTTTGGACTATCTCGAAGGTGTGAAAGATTTTTTAAAACTGTGAAAAAATGTGGGACAAATGGATATTGTAGTAGACATGGATAATATAGCGATATCTCGGAGAAAAAGAAGCGTTGAAACATGAGTGATACCTCAAATGAAAGGCTATTTTTGACTGATCTTAAAGGTGTAAAAGATTTTTTAAAACTACGAAAAATTTTAGGACATTTGGATATTGTAGTAGACATGGATAATATAGTCATATCTGGAAGATGGGCTAGAGCTGAGAAATGAGCGATACCTCAAAAGAACACTCATTTCATACCAATATCATATATGAAAACGAATTTTGAAACCGGAGAAAAATCTTGGGACAAATGGATATTGTAGTAGGCATGGATAATATACTCATATCTGAAAGATGGGCTGGAGCTAAGAAATGGGCCTTACCTTAAAAGAAAGCCCATTTCATACCAATATCATATATGAAAACGAATTTTGAAATTGGGAAAAATTTTTGGGGCAAATGGATATTGTAGTAGACATGGATAATATACTCATATCTGGAAATTGAGGGAATGATTTGGAATGAGTAATATTCCAAAGTAAAGTTCATTCCTCGCTGATATCGAATATAAAAACAGATTTTCATAAATCCTACGCGTTGTCTTATTTTTAAAAGACTTAAATTTTGATGACTAATTTTTGAATTTTGCTTACTGTAGTCGAATTTACGATTCTACAAATTCAAAAGTACGACGACACAGTTCCAATAGGACTTGGTTATTGGTAAAATACGTATTTCGGAAAATGATTCAAAAAAATATGCAAAAAAATCATCAATTTATATTACCCATGCTGATGTAAATGAAGGTCTCAAAAACTATGATTTAAAATACGATATAGCATGCTAACGATTGTTAAATAAATATAGATTCGATTACCTAAAATTCGTTGCCTCTCCGCTACCTGCAGGTTACCTAGCAATTGTGTTTTGAAAGTTTTTTTTCCAAAGTCCAACTTTTATTGGGCGGCAATAAAATCCGTCGGATTTTATGGGATTCCCCATAACGTGGCTCAATAAATGATGTTTGGAGGCTAGTACAATACGGCTCGAGTTCCTTTGAATGCCTATTTTGAGGCGGGCGGTCGGGAAACGATTATCTTTGGACAAAAATCGTGAGAAATTTGCAAAAATCTCAAATTTTCGTAAATATTTTGATGTCTACAGGGTAATGACGACTTCAAACAAGTTCTCAAAGCTCTATGACATGTTTAGGAGACCATTGAATTAGGGGAAAATCATTTTTGATTCGAGAAAATCGAAAAAACCGGGGAAAACGCCTAAAATAAGGTGAGAAATGGGTGTTTTCGGGCTAAAACAGGTGGTTAGACGAATCTTTTGGGTATAGAAATAAACCTTACGGCATTATCTTGCTTCTCAACACCATTGCCTAAGGGGAAATCAAATTTAAAGCAGGTAAAAATAGCAAAAACCACCAAAAACCTCTAAAACAAGGTGGAAAACAGATGTTTTGGCTGAAAACCGATGTGATCTGGCTGTAATTCGATCCGACAACTAGTCTAAACCCAATATCCTTTCATTATCAGTGATTTCGAGTCCAAGAACGGCAAAATTTTTCAAATTTTTTCCAAAAAATCGCATTTTTTAAAAAATCCCCAAGTTGAGTGAGCCGAATCCCCGGAGGGGCTGGGATATCGGATGTCGGCCGTAAATCGTATTTCACTTCCGTCGCGCCCCCCGAAACCCAAACAAAGCCCGCAAGTTTCACGTCATTTCGCGACTCTGCCCTCGGGCATTCACGTACCTGGGGCCGTGAAGATCGGAAACGAGAGCAGAGAGAGAAGACGTCGCTTCCATTTTTTTTTGGTTGAGCGTGACATTCGATCCGCTTAATTGATCGGGCAGGTGGAAAAAAAGGTTGAGGAGTATATGTAAAAAGTAATGTCAAAACGACTGACCATTGACTCAGTGGTATTAGCAAAAAAATCTTGGGGGAAAAACGGGATTAAAACTGAGAAATTTTCGGAAAAATTTGATTTTTGGCTAAAATAAGGTCATTTTTAATGAAAAATCTGATTTTAAAGCGATTTTAAGAGGGTTGAAAATTAATGGAGTATTTTTCAAGCAGTAAAAGTCATTTACAACGTATTTCAAGTAAAAATTTTGAAAATTTCAAAAAATAAATTTCGTATTTTAGATCAAAAAATTGATGTAAATTACAATAAAAATTTGGATTTACATATGACAAATTGCCCAAAATTGCAAATAAACCTATTTAAATTTAATTTAAACCTCCATTTTTGGCAAAAATTTTCAAAATTCCGCCAAAAATGGTGATTTTTATGGATTTTAGGTCAAAAACTCTCCCAAAAACCCGATAAAAATTCGATTTGTGGCCTCTAAATCAAATCCTCGTGGCCTATAACGTCTATTCCACTTATAATCCAGCAAAAATCAGGTGGATAATCGTGATCAAATCACTTGTCCATGCCGCTCTCCTCGATCCGATTAATCATCCCGAAACGATTGTCCAGGAGTGTCGGGCAGGCCGAGGGCCGAATCGAAACGACGAGCCCTCCCTTCCTTCGCACCTGGACACTTTGTTTTAGGCGCCGATCATAAAAAATCAATCTCTCCCGGGTGTTCCGAGGCCCCAAACACTCATCAATTTGGGCCGAGCGACGCGGTTTTTTGGGGGCTCCAAAAGGTTATTGTAAAGGTTCGGGGATGAGTAAAGGGCTCCTGGAAGCAAAACAATCGTGTTTTTGGAGGTATTTAGGAGGTCTGCACAGTGCAAAAAATTCTTTGGAGGTCTGCACAGTGCAAAAATAAAAACCCGAAACTGCACGGTGCAGAGAAAAAATTTCAAATCTGCACGGTGCAGACAAAAAAAAATAAAAAATGCACTGTGCGTATGGAAAAAATTTTGACTGCACTGTGCATTCGAACTCGCGCGACAAATTTTTGGACACTGCACGGTGCAGCCGGAAAGAAATATTAAATCTGCACGGTGCGACAAAAAAAAATAAAAAATGCACTGTGCGTATTGAAAATTATTTTGACTGCACTGTGCATTCCAACTCGCGCGACAAATTTTTGGACAATGCACGGTGCGGCGCGTAACAATTTCAAATCTGCACGGTGCAGAGAAAAAAAAACTAAAAAATGCACTGTGCGCATGGGAAAAATGTTGATTGCACTGTGCATTTTCATTTGTCGCGCGACAAACAATGCCCTGCACTGTGCAGTCAACAAAATTTTGCACGGTGCTATTCGTTTTTTCATTTTTTTCGCTGCACGGTGCAGAAAAAAGCAAAAAATTCGGCGGCACTGTGCATTTGTCGCGCGACAAAAAATGCTCTGCACCGTGCAATCTATTTTTCATTTTTTTCCGCTGCACGGTGCATAAAAAAAAAAAAATTTTTGGATGCACGGTGCGGTCAAAGACTAATCCAAACCGCACTGTGCGTTTTGGCCGTCGCTTTAATAACATACTAATGAACTGGTGAATGTCTAAAAAGACTAATCACGTAAATTGAATCATAATCTGTTCGAAAAAACCGGCAGAAAAATGCCAGAACATGCGAAAAAGCGATAAGCGCATTAAGAAAGCGGCACCGGAGGGATAATGGAATTGTGGCGCGACAAAGGCGCGCAAAAATGCCTTCCGGCCCCGGCGAGGAAGAAGTTGGCCCAACTCCAGCGGACATGAAAATCCATTGAGAGAATTGGAAGAAGAAGGGAAGGGCACCGAAAAGCCGCCCGAATTCGGTCGAAAATGCATGCCAGACGAGTTTAGGCGAACAAAAATGAACATACGAAGACATGTTCGTAGCTACAAATAGCTGTCCAAAC